CTTGTTTTTAAACGAGGAATTATTTTGAATGAATAATAAAGCAAGTAATGAATTCGGCTTTCGTAGGATATAAAGAATGATGCAAATCTCATAACACCCTCCTTGATCTGCATAATTCTTCATATCCTAGTCAGCCTCATTCGTTCATGGTATCGCCCATCATCTTTCCTCCATCGTCCATTGTCTATCTTGTCGGAATCCATCGTCTGGGTTTTAACACATGCTGGTATTGAGGGTTCATTAGTTTAATGACTTTGATAAGCTTTTTTAACTTAAGGAATCCCTTCTCTTGATACAGGAAACCTATCGCTGTTAATGAGGAAGCACGAATTTCAGCTACCTTCACTTCAAATCGAGGCAAGGACCATACAATCGCCGTCAGCTTCGTTTCTGATGAGTTAAACGGCGTCCGTGGAGAATGCACTGTCTTAAATGTTAACTGATTGGCTGAACTCAGTGTACGCTATATGTACCTTAACTAATTACCCGTAAAATTCCAAAAATACGTCGCCGGGGCCTGTCTTCAGTTACGGTCTTATATTCGTTGGGGGTTATTATTGGCGGAAATCTACTTTTCAAAAACGTCTGGTCTTATAATTGGAGGGAACTTAATTTGTGTCGAGAAGTTTTTAATGCCGACCAGTCATAATATTAAGCATTGGCTTCAAACATCACGACCAAAAGCCTTCACTGACTTACGTTATTTTTTAGTTCATAATTAGACTATATGTCCTCTTGGACGGCCATCTGGACTCTTGTCTCTGGAAGTACAGTTCCCATTCTCCTTAAGCGGTCGAGGTTGATAAGTTGCGATATGATCGATATGGATTAGACTCGTATATGGAGGCAATCTCAAAACATGTAGTCACAAGGGCGCTTATATAAGCTTATCTGCAAGTTTGAGACATTTTTCCATTTCGAGAATGGAGGGTCTTATTTCTGGAAATTTACGGTGATATAATCCGAGTGTTCAGTAACATTGAAAGTATGCGCATGCTCAGTAACTGTCTTCACGCAATGTTCCAGGTCCCAAGGACAAGACACTAACTTTGAAATTAAGATACTGTGAAAATGCTTATCTTTCGCTCACTACATCTGTTTTTGATATGCCTACACTAATTCCTGTAGTTTGCGGATTGACAAAAAGTAACAACTGATGTTTGTTGTTGTTGTCACTGTTGTTGTTATTCTGGCATTTCAGTTAAAAGTTCTGTTGAGTAAAAGCTACTAGTTGTAACTCATTCGAGACTCTCAATTTTTTTCAGTACAATTTACATGGACCCCATTTAGATTCCAGAGCCTTTTTAAAGTCAGGGAACTGGGTTGAAAGTTACTCCAACCAAAACGAGTTTTTGGATGTATCCCAACTTCGAATATTAGAGCCAGTGTTAAAACCTGCCCTCCCAGGTACACGTGGGTTTGCTCTATTTCTTTCCATGGCCAGCCCTCCAATTCCTGACATTTTACGGGCCTCCCTCCCTAGACCTCTGCGAGCTTCTGCGATACAAGTACTTCTAGTATACATTGTGTAAATCAACGAGCAAGGAATGACCCATTTAACCGTAGACGTGCTACATGCAAGCGTCGTACGTATTTTATCATCACACGGAAGATCTCCTACCCAAATTAATTAATGCCGGCATACTATAATCTTGCACAAAGAGGAAACTTACTCGCAATCTGGAATGGTAAATAAATATCGAAATACTGAACAGCGTGAGTAGGTGTCATCGGTTGGCAAATGGAGAGCTCACTTGCAGTCCTTTAAGTCTGGAATAGTAGTTGTCACGCACAACAAAACTCAGTCACGCAACTTACTGTAGAACGTGTCGGGTGTGACGGATACCCACAAGTGTCAGGGTCGGAAGGTCGAACTTGGCCGACTTGTAATATAATCAAGGGTGACTTCAAGGCGATAAAATAGGCCACGGCTGAAAAGTCAACAAAAGAAAGGACAATTTAAAAGGGATACCACTAGGCTTTCTAAAATTTTCAGCCTTTCGACGCCATGTTCAGTATCATAGTGATATTTGTGTTTGGATCTTTCTTGGTTTCCCAAGCAGAGAGTGTCTTTGTCGGAGCCTTTGTCATGCCGCACGGTAGGTGACATATTCCATAAATTTCGATCTTTCTCCATTTCACCATTTTCCGATTAATTGTCGGAAACAAATCGTTTGTAAAACCTTCCTTGAATTGACAGTAACACTGAACTAAGATCAGGCACGTCGACTCTGGTGGAGTCTCGTGATTGCGTTTAAAATTTAACCCCAGAAAGTGTCAGGAGTCATGCCATTGGGTAGTTGAACGTTGTGACCAGAGATATGAAAGGCTTTCTGAAAGGTAACGAATTGGGAAAGGAAATGACGTTGTTTTTCACTTTCCCCTTATTTTTAATATCTCTCTGACCCATCCCTGACTTCCCCAATGCAGAGATGCCAACCTCTTGAGATTCAAAATCTGGAGACTCACTCTTTTTCACTACCCTCACCCTCCAAATTTCGACGGACCCTCCCCACAACAAATTGACCCAGCCCCCAATGGGAATGGCTCAGGACTTTATATGAAGTCTTACATGAATTGCATACTATCAAAATTAACGATCATCGTTTTGATGCCGAAATAATCTTTGTCAGTGGCTAAATACGTGCAAAAATGCGCCAGAAACCGTACTACGAATAAGAAAAATTCACGTTTTGAAGAAACAATGGGCTACATCTCAAACTAAAGCACAGAAAAGAACAAGAGATGATTTTATCCGGGGGATTTGGTGACCCGTGCGGGAGGGCGGGAGAGCGGGAGAGCGGGAGATCGGTGCCATATCCGGGAGACTCTCGAATAATCCGGGAGAGTTGGCACTGCTCCAGAAGAGCTCCTCAGGCTTGAAGAAACCAAAGTGACAGCGATGAGTAAGCTTGAAAATAGCATAGTATGAAATTAGCATCCGAAAACGAATATTGTACAGGCTACAAGAAAAGAAAGAGTATGGATTCTTGTTTCAAAATTCCCTGAAAACTAGTGTTATTCACCTATCTTGTTTTATTAATAGTATCTAAAATGCGTATATTTCCGTACGCAACATTTCTGGCCTTCATTATTGTATTGCGTCATGGTTTCGATATCCTACGGACTTTTCTCGTAAAATGGAAGATAAATAAATATGCAGAATTAAGTAGTTGGAGTCTTGTATTGATGAACATTAACATCGCAGCTTTCAAGACCGGTTTCGAAAAATAACTTTGGTACTGAACACGTTATCAGTGTTTATGTTTACGTTGTTTGGCGATTTTTGTACCGTCAGGAGGAATTGCTCTGGATCCCCGGTATTTCAACACGACCAATGCCACTGCCAAGGCTCAGGCTTGGATGGTACATGATGCAGCAGTGCAAGTGGGAAAACAAATCCAGGATCTGAAGCCAGATATAATAGTCCTGAGTACTCCGCACGGAATAGCCTCTCCTGAAGATTTCGTCTTTTATCTCAGTCCAAAAGGGGCAGGATTCTCTGACACAGACAACTGCGCATGTCTACCTTGCTGCTACAACCTGTCCGTCGTCATGGACACAAAAGGCACCAAGAGTCTTGTTAGCACCCTTAAATTTGAAAAGGAAAATGTTTCTTACCTTAGCGCATTTGGTCCACCCGGAAGTGAGGATGTTCCTTTCCCGCTTCGCTGGGGAGAGGTAGTCCCGCTGTACTTTACAAAAGGGACTTTAAGCTACAGCAAAGTGATCGTTTTGTCCCAGCCGAGTCGCAGATACACGGACAGCGTGCAGATGATCCCGGAATTGACCCACCTGGGCAAGAATATGTTTAAGATTCTAGATCTTCAAACTGACAGAGCCGTAATGATTATAAGCGCTGACCTCGCGCACACTCACTTAAAGTCCGGTCCTTACGGATTCTCCACGGCCGCAGAACCGTTTGACAAAGCATGCGGGGCATGGGTTACCACTCAGGATTCGGACAAACTGTTAGTTGAAGCCGCTTCCTATGTGAACAAGGCCCTTTCCTGTGGATTTACTGGTCTGGCCATGCTGGACGGGATGTTGAAAGCGAGTCCTAATCACTGGCATTCTCGGCTTTATGCTAACTTTCATCCTAGTTACTATGGCATGATGTTGGCGTCCTTTGTGCCATTAACACAGTAGAACCACGCGAGAACTTCTGGAGATGACCACCTCTTTATAGGAGGGGCGGGGTCTGCGGAAATTTGAAATGTTTGGGATAAACAAAAATCTTGCCGTTTAAGAGAATAGTAAAATTTTGGGATAAAAACAAAACATGTCGACCTAAGAATTTAATAATCTGCCGTTTGAAAACATTCTAAGAATAGCAAAAATACTAATTAATGCCGTATTTCAGATTTTTCTTTGAGTTTGTGTTGTAAATCTTTTCTAATGTTCTTATTTTTGTTCTTCTTATTTTTTATTATAATTATTCTTATTATTACACCGAATTTTCCTACATTCTACGTCGCCCTAGAAAATTCGAAGACATTTACGTTGGCTGTAAAGCCACTGTAGGCCGTTAAAACGAAAAACAGCCCTAAAAAATTCGAGAGGTTCAAACCAAGGACCCGAAGAGTCAAAAGCAGCCTATGCTTTTTGGGACATAACGAGCCATTTCAGAATTTAGAAAACGGTCCGTTTTGGTATTATTAACTTACTTTGAGAGGTGATCGTTTGATAGAGTGAAAAAAAACAGAGCGAATGTGTAGCCTTTCCTCCAAGTAAAAACAAATGCCGGGTAGTTGAAAATTTAGCCTGGGCTGCCCGTTGTTCCAACTGCAAAAGCCAACGATTTACTCACCAGTCGTTTTCCGCACTGTTTCGACATGGTTTATTAACAGCAGTCTCGAATTTTGATTAAGGAAGTCCATCAGACTAGTTTGGTATAGTGTGTTTGCTAACTTTCATGGAGTTGACTGTACACATCGTTCAATAAAATCCCTTTCAGTATGAACTACTGAGCAGCCAACCGAGAAACGTTCCATTAATTTTAGTCAATCAGAATTCCTTTCTGTAGCATACTTATAAATACATTTTTAAAATATTTACGACGCGAATCAACCAGTGAGTCCATCAATTAAAGGAGCTGTGTCACGAAATTCAGCCAAATTAGGTATTACAAAATGCCTGTTAAATCCAAGAGAAACATAAAAATAACCGCCGCGGTTAAAACATTAAAGGAAGGTCAAAATAACACAACAGATACAACAGATGCCACGGATGGGCAAAACTGAAGAAGATTAAAACGGATTGAAATTAGGGTTTCTGAAAACTGTTCAGCCTAACAGTTTTTCAAAGTTTATCTCTGCTGTTTGCAACTTCAAAAATTATGCTCAGGAGACATATTTGTTTGTCTCCAATCTCTGACTCCGTCATTCACATGTAGTTTCTTTGCTTACTTTAAGTTCCATAGCGATTGAGCGCGAGTAACTGGCAAAATTAAACAAAATGATCTGGACTGTCGTGACACAGCCCCTTTAATTAATCAGTCATTCAATCCATAGTCAATCAATCAATCAGTCAACCAATCAATCAGTCAATCAGTCCACCAATCAATCAATCAATCAATCACTTGGTGACCAAAAGCTCCTACATTGCTCATTAACATCACTAAACGTCATTCAACCCAAAGTTCAGACTTCGCAAGATGACCGGCCCGGAAACCTCATACTCGACACAAAACGAAAACTGCAACATCGTCAGTCTCATTCATCGCCTTGATATACGGCAAACGCCTTTATTTTACATCGCTTTTTACATGCTATTTCTTACAGACATTTACATATGATGTCATATTTCATTCTGGCTTTACACATTTTCACACTTTGGCTATGATTTACAAACACTAAAAAGAACAACTACACAGACACAGTGGTGGGTTAAACCTAACAAAGAACCAGCAAGGAGTATGTCCATTCGGGACCTGCAATGCCCCAGCATATCACATCCCGAGCACCCAAATCCCATTTCACTGGCTCCTCTAAAACACTGACAAGCAGTCGCAAAGGCATTTCTTATGAAACTCAAGGCTAAAGGGGCTATGTCATGATGATATTTTTGTTTTAGGTCAATTATAAGTCACTACTCATTGCCTCCACCCATACAAAAAATACTCTTGTAGAGTTATGAAGGAGAAATCAAACGTTGAATTTCTTCACGGAGCACGAACCATAATGATTTCTTTCATGGCGATTTTGGCGGGCATGGCATTAAAACTTGAAAAATCGGCCCAACCTTTTCAAGGTTTGATCCAAGTCCATCCTTGCTATCCTTTGTAATAGACGACAGCAAACAGTTTCAATGTCTTAATACGGTCTTCAGTACGTAACAAAGCTGGAGGACCACTATTTTTGATGCGAAGAGAAGTTTTAACTTTTTAAAAACATAGCAGGTGGTGCGACATAGCCCCTTTAAAATCTTACAGTAGATGGGAGAGAAATCTACCATCCAGTGTTGGTAAATTTTTCTGGTTAGGCCTACGTTTCATGGTGTTTGAACGGGAAGGGGTAAGAAGAAATATTACGAAGCTTTAGCAAAGGCGTTCTTGGGCAACGAACATCAGCCAGAAGTTTTCAGTTTTTGCATTCTTGCGGAGTGGTTCTGCCCAAATTTTCGGGCATATCGTCTCAACATGAAGGTAGACACTTAAAGTTGATTTGCAGAGTAGCGTAATATTTTTACGTACGTAAAATTTACGTTCGCACATAAAATAGAGGCAATGCGTGAAAGGTCGCTCGTAAGCGTAAAAGTTGAACCTTGCTCAACATCTCGTTTAAGCTCAGCGCTTTTTATCTTGCCTCTATTTTATTTACATGATAAAAATTTAGGTGCGTTAACATGCATAGCCAAAAACGCTTCAGTGGAAATCAACCTCTAGCTATAAAATCTGTTGGAGTCAAGGTATATTAAAAGTTAAAAGGGCTCACATGCGGCTGACTTACGCAGCTCAAAAAACACCATTGCTGCGATACAGCGCTCAGCCTCTCCTCCGTGTTGTTCGATATCTTTAATTGTGAGAGCGGAAGAGGACTGGGGTGAGTAGACAGTCTGCACAATAGACCTCTTTAGCTTGTATGTTTTGTTTTCCCAATGATTCAGAAGCAAGGGCATTTGCCCATCTTTTACTTTTCATAAATTATACGTCCATGTGCACGGGAATAAGATGACATTTGAATGAAACAGCTCTCTTGAGTATTATCACATGTCCTAATTGGGAAAACAAACCGTTCAAGTTTAAGAGGTCTATAGGGTGGAAAGAGGGCCCGTTTTCATACCTTTTGACTCGTGCATCACCACTCAAGCGAATTCCAGTGTTCGGGCGACCGCGAAACGTCTACAATGAAGGCTATTAGAAATACTTTGCCTACTACTTAATGTGCCAAACAATTTTTAGATGGTATCCCGTTTAAATAAAACTATCAATGGAGGATTAGACTGACCTGAAGATATTTTTCCGGTACCTGAGAATCAATATAGAACTTTTCCAATAATATTGTAGCTCTTGCCGAAATTTCACTGCACTATTGTGGCGACGTTTTAGCCAGATACTGGATTTTTTTAGAAAAAATGAAAAGAAAAACGAATGTAATATTCTACTCTGTACAGCTGACTGAAATTTTCATGTTTTGCGCTCTTAAAACCACTGGCAACTCTACCAGTAAAGGCAAGAGAGCTTGGTAAAACTGTTATTCCAAATTAGTGGCCATCTTTAACAACTTTATTTTAGAAATGAAGTTCAAAAGTGACACTATTTTGCAAAGGATAAGAGCTTGGAAGCTGTAAATTCTCAGTAAAGTTCATACTGTTTGATTTTCTCTTCAAGACTACTTAACACGCCGGAAAACAAGAGTTATTTACACTCATCTGGTTACGAGGAGGATTACATTGGGGGTTTGGGATAGCCGACACATTCGAAAATTCTCGTGCGCATGAATAGAAAATGGCAGTTTGGAGGTTTTCTCGAAGATTTCACGAATTTCAGACCTCGCTTCAGCTGACCACGTATTTATAATCCAATATGGCCGCCAAAGAAACACAACTGTGTAATGATAAAGAAAGTGATGTATTGAAATCTTATCGAATGTGAGGGCCCCTTTGCTATATTTCAGTTTAGCGCAGTTTCAATATACCATTTCCGAGATACCAAAACCCTCATTTTCAACTGCAGAAATTAGTTTTATCTGAATGAGACCAAGACAAATCGTTTTGACATAAATTTGGCACCTACCTTCGTTTTGAAAAGGAGGCTGGGGACAAGTCGAAAATGGCTTATTGACACTCACTGTATGTTGCTTTACTATGCTTCGTGATTGGTGAAGGTATCTCGCGTCATTTTCTGAACCAATCAGCTCTCTCGAGATCTGACTGGTTCAGCAAAGCGAGAAGTAGAAGCAAAGAAAAGGGGGTACTTTAACTGTGGATTGCGAGGAAAAAAATAATTTTACACCTTCAATTTGTCGTATGTGAATAGTATTATATGTTATCACGTAATTACAATAAACTGAATATGTAGAAATTGACTGACAGAAATGTGATACATTCTGTACAATAACACTGATACGCAATTTTCTGTCGGCCAAAGAAAGCCAAGGGAAGCCTTTCACTATAAAAAGGCATTTAAAAACCACTTTGTACGGTTGTAGTGGTGTCAAATATACTACTGAATGGGAAGTTATTTAGTAGGCTGATCTCATCATTAAGGCGGCCACTGAGAGCTCGTACATGTACATCCATGGACGTAGCAGCACTTATGATTCATTATGACGTAGATCTTTTAAATATAGTTAGCTAATAATTAAAAACTCTAATGAGGGCAAATAAATTACTCTATTGAAATATTTTTGTCGACTGACATAAATAGCAACGCTCATGAGCCAACATAGCTAACCCAGCTGGTATCATGTTTTTTCCTCGTCGCCACTGCTTTTCTTATCGGACGAATCATAGTCATCTTGGTTAAGGTTCATGTCGTCAAAGGACTAAAATATAAGAATTACAACAGAAAGTAGGTTATATTTGGCGCCAAAAGAATACTGTGGGAGGGGACGCATCCAGGGATTTTAATTAGGGGTGGGGTGGGCCAATAGGGGCGGGTTACTGTCATCCTGCCACCAACGAAATTGCCACCAAGAAATCGACTCGCCGCCGCCTAGGAATTTTACTTTTTCGTCAAGCTTTTGTGAATTTGAGTCGACCCAATACAAATCTGTCGGTCCTAATTGACCACCATTGCGTCAAACCTCTCATGCTTTTAATACTCTTAAATACTGATCATAAGTTCGGTGAATGTAAACTCTGACATCTAAAAAGCTGCACAACCACCAGTCATTTCTTTGAAATATGATAAAGAAACGGTTAAAAGAAAATTTCTGTTCATGAAAGTTCTTTTCATTTGATGTGTACACATTAATTATAGATCAAATATGCACCGTTTTATGCTACAAGGGCGAAACGTTTTCAGCCTGGCTTTCATACCTCAAGTTCACGGAAAACTTCGTCCATAAAATCTGTTGAGTCTTCTTTATATTTCACTGCCAGTTTTATTGCTTCTCGAAAAGCCTGCCCAAAAGAAAAAAATAAAGCAGACAATTCCATAAAAGGTCACAAAATAGACATTTTAAAGTAGTAGTGACAATCAACTCTCCCTATGAAAGCCACCAATAAACCGGTAGTATACCCTTAGATATCCATGGATAAACTTGAAGAAGACTGAAGTGGAGTGCAGTTGTGGTTTGCCTAACAGTTTGTCAAGGTTCCTTTTTTTCTTTTGTTTGTAATGTCTGATATTATAGTGCTTCCAGGGAGACACATTCATTTGTTGCGAAGTGGTGGTTTTCATCAACAAGAAGCTTCTTCACTAATGCTGAGTTCCGTAGAAAATAGGCGAATCTTTGCTGACGTCATTGTTTACATTTGTCCTCATTAGCATACGACTTAGTCTACTACACAGCCGTTTTTAGTGTCGTCACGCAAGTTAGTGGGGAGGAGCGTTGCGTGACGACTCTAAAAACGGCTGTGTAGCAGACTACATACGACTTAACTCAAAGAAGCCGTGCCCGTATAAATGAACTAAATGCAAAAGTTGAAAGATCTGATTAAATTGAGCAATTTGCGCAATTTTCAGCTCTATACAAGCAATATTGAAGGAAATATCAGCTATCAAAAACTGCGAAATTGCTGTGTGGCCAAAAAGTTAATGAGTCATACATCACATTCTCTGTAAAATTTTGAGTTTTTAGAAGAGAATTCTCCGAAACCTTACCATTCGGTGTATTGGGGTCAAATTTTCAGAGATAACTGAAACTATTATGCCCTTTCAATATTCAGAGTTTTTATTCTATTAACGTCATCAGATAGTGATAAGCATATGTTAATGAGGCAAAAAGTGTGTACAAAGATTCGCCTACAAGGACGCCTAATTGGCAATATTTAAAAAAATGAATCAGACGGCCGTGACACAGCCCCTGTAATGGACCCTCAGTGGTGGATCCAGGGGAGGTACTTCCCCCCCCCCTATATCTAAAACAAACTGAGGCCTGAAGGGCGGAAAAAATTTTTTTTCGTGACCGAACCCCCCCCCCTCGCTTCAACTTATCCGAAGGTCTGAATCCGCCACTGGCCCTGCCCTGGAATAAACACCTCGAATTAGTCCCTGCCATTCCTCAGCTTTCTTTGTCATTCTTTATACGGTGGGCAATTTTTAGGATCCATGCTTCAATTTGTATTTACTGTGTCACCTATACCTGTTTTTGGAGGCAGTTGCCAAGATTGGAAGTTTGATAAATTTCATGACACAGCTCCTTTATGAAAGAGAGTTCTTTTATATAATCAATAACACGTTGCAGAACTAAAGAGACTGCCATGAGCACGTACCTTTACAACATTTGTTCCATCAGAAGCCGACACAAAATAAAGGGGAAGATTATGCTTTTTGGGAAAATTAAAACTTCTTTGTGTTACACTGTAGTCGACTTTGTAAAAGGAGAAAACAGGTCAAGGAAAACATACAATGTGACTTTGGTAACTTATGTCTTACAGTAGAGAGTAGTCTGCCACACAGCCGTTTTTAGTGTGGTCACGCAACGCTCCTCCCCCACTAACATTAGTGGGGAGGAACGTTGCGTGACAACACTAAAAACGGCTGTGTAAGCAGACTAAGTAGAGAGTGATACAGTGCTATCTTCTCTCTTGAAAATTACTCATTATTTCCTGCATAGCTCAACTTCCAATCTCTAATGAGCCTGTGCATTTCTAACAGGCAACCTTTATTATTATTTAACTATTACTAACTTAAAGTGCAAAAGGATACCATCTATTTTGTTAGCTATAACTACACAAGGAATCTTTTCTCTGTAACTTCTAAGCTCGTTGTACCATTTTGGCAGATTCTTATATGTTACTTTTCTCGTTGTGTCGAAAACCTGTTGATGCAGAAAACAGTGTCATGTCAATCACATTATACTTTGTGACCAAATATATGACAGTTTCTGTTACATGTAGCTTTTATGTATTACAGCTGTATTTAATTTTATGAGTACCACACTAGTTGTAACTCCTTTTTGCATTCTTAACACTGAAAAAGCATTTTGCAGGGTTGTCATTAAGATTTCAAGTTGCCGGGTAAACACAACAAGTAGGCAGGGAATCAAACGGCTAGGGATTTCTTTTGGTTCTATTTTTCTTCTATTTTCCAATAAAAGTAGCTGGGGGCCACTCTCTTAGTAGCCGGGGAAAATCCCCGGCCCCCGGCTCTTAATGACAACCCTGATTTTGCCTAGATCTGAATCAAAAATAATCTCCGTTCCAAAAATTTTAAGATGCTGTTCATACAAACCACACTGAGAGTTGTAACTTTGTGAAAGGTTTGAACCCAGGAGTCATTTCAAAAGTAGGTTGAGTTTGGTCATCCGGGTGAACGTAGTCCTGAATAGGACTGTTGTTGTTGACAGTGACTGACGTTTTGACAACCTGTGTGATAGTCATCTTCATCTTTTAACTCTGAAGATGACTACCGCACAGGTTGTCGAAACGTCAGTCACTGTCAACAGCAACAGTCCTATTCAGGACTACGTTCACCTGGACAATCAAACTCAACCTACTTTTTGTTGTAACTTTATCAAAAACCACAGTGACTTCACAGTTAATACCAGTCTGTTCCTAAGTCCGATAGTGTTATCAACAGGACAAATCACTATCCAGTAGATAAAAATTTGTATTTGTGGGCAGTAAGCCCTGTACTATCTCATGTACAAATGCGAATTTACAATGTATGTTTTGTTACAAAAAACCAGTTTCAGAACTTTTTCTTCCTTGTTTGTCTTATCAGATCTGATTGAGTATAACTATGTCAGTTAAGTCGCAAAAAAAATTGAAATCTTGGTTTTGACTATATGTACTAATAAATTTCATCCCACAGTAAACTAAAAAGCAAAAATAACATACATGTGATATAAAACGGAAATAAAAAAAATATATATGATCAAACACTTTAAAGGGTACTTTAAAGGGTTGTACCTTTAAAAAAAGGGAAATGCATTGATAATCATGTACAAATTAGAAAAATTTGCTTGTTTATTTACATAATTTGAGTTATATAGCACAAGATATTTACAGTAACAAAAATCAAGTGAGTTCTTGATCAAACTTACTAGTAAACAGGAATGAGCTTGATGGTAATATGATGGATGCATGCTGCTAAATCTCTCCTGACCTGCAGTGTCCCAGAAATCTAAAACATCAACACAAAAAAATTCAAGACTTAACAATACATTTTGCTACAATTACAACATAAAAAACTGTATATGACTGTACAGTTGTACATAATAGCTTGATTTATGTGATACCAGAATCATAAATAACCTCAGGCCTTTTTTTAATTGAGTCTGGAAGCCAGATCTTCTTGGAGGACAGATTTAACATGAGTTAATTAATAATTATAAAGTTGGCCAGTACTTGGATGCAAGTTATTGCCATGTTTTGGTTATAACGTTTCAAGCAATGACGCACATTTCAGCTATCCCCAGAAACTGAATCTGACTAACAAACCTAATGTCCCCCAGAGCAATTTGTGCTTTGTATATATGGTGTATGTGTATGTCTGGAAACCAAGTGCTTTGAGAATTTCCACTCTACTACTGGAGGAAGAATGTATCACAACCAACAGCTTAACAACTTAACAACACTGCTGTTCGGGTCTCAGGGAAGCTGAAACAACATTTCAGCCAAGAATGAATTTTCCATAATTAGTCCAGAATTTTGCAAGTCTTTGTTAAACCTATATTTGGCACAAAATTAGTTGAGACAGTTTGCCCTAAAAGGTGCCTCTCTGATGTTCTGCCAACTTGAAAAGGAGAAAATAAAGCTTTCTGTCCCCCACCCTCTCCATGCAATATGTTGTTGTGCTGCTGTTCAAGCTACCTGTAGGAAACAACAAACACCCCAACTTTGAATGGAGGGGAGGTGGAGGAGGAGGGGTGTGGATTGTTTTGTTCTCTGAAGTCACCCCATTTGAGGACAAGGTCTCAACAACTTTGTCAGTGATTGTACGTCAACAAACCAAACAATATCTCAACAACCTCATATGCAATAATTGTATGATGCTGAGTTACTGTGGTTTTCACTCTTTCACGCCCCCTCACAACATTGCCATAAGAATAATGTTTTCAGTGACGTTGTCACAACACCATCACATGATTTCTTTCAAAGTGAAGCTGTTTGACCTATTTTGTTGTGCTCAAACATAGATGTAACAACAATAATCTTTATTTTTATCAGGATGTGTGAAGAATCAACCTTGACCTTGTTAAGTTTTTTGACTATGATAAATTAATCCTTTAACTCCTGCAGAAATTGACAGTGCTAAGACTCAATGTTAAAATGTGAAAATCTCCCAATTTATTAAATTTTGAAATTTTCAAAAACCAAAGACAACTTAAAGGCTCAGGACTGTTTTACTGTTTTTTCTTTTGGTGTTCTACACAGCTGGCCATAAAAAAATGAGAGATTTTTTTGAAGTATGTTTCAATGACCCATATGCTGATTAAGTTCAAAAAAGCTCCAGAATGTTGAAGTGTACGCCACAACCAAGGAAATTAATGTCATGGCTCCAGTAACTTTGTCAGAGAGAAGAAATTGTGATGGACGTCCCTTTTTTCAGTGACTAGTAGCAGTACAATGAAAGCATGTATCTGTGACCACTGATGGGGCTTAAACAGAATATTTATCAACTTATATGTAACACTGCAAGAATGCCTAAAACTCTAGAAAATTCCAAAATGTTGTCATAAAAGGCTGATTGCTGAGGATTTTGGTTGGCATTTTTTAAAATTCCTTGCTAGAAAGACAAAAAATGCCATCTTCCCAGCCTTTCTTCACATTTCCACACATGCAGTATACAGTGTAACATGTTAACTAGTACTTACCAACACGGACATCAATTCCATCCACAGAAGTTTTGTATTGAAATAGTGTCAGTGCATACGTTGATAACTGTTGTGGTTTACTATGAGATAAACCATTAAGGAAACCACACAAACCATTTTAACCTGCACATGAACAGCTCTTTTGAAGAAAACTCATTAATGTGAGATAGGTAAGTTGTGATAAATTTTAGTGGTTGCTGTCAACTCTTATTATTACTTTATGACATGATTATCAAGAGCTTTAATATCATTGCTGTAACTTCCAGAGAAAAACTCATATCAGTTTTGTTTCTATCTATGTAGCTACAGTACAGCTAAGAGATAAGCGACAAATGCACACACAAATCACATTTGTTAATGCGTTTGAAATCTAGTTCAAAACTAGCTTTCTGTTTTGCTATTCACCGTTCAAAAATCCACTTCTGTGATAATCCTAGCTTTTCAAAAACAATTATTTACAGCATTGTGAGCTATCACTTTGGATCATGTTTAGCAGCCTGGCCTAGCTAGAGCAGATTTAAAGCGACAAAAAGCGAAAGAGTCCTTAAGGTTCTAGGATGAGGACAACTATGAGACTTTCTCAATACTAAGTAGTGCTCGAGCATGAACCAGCACCATTTTGGCAGGAAAATATGATGGCCATCATCATTTTGGGAAAGTCTTAGTGGCAGAAACAAGTTGTCAAAAGTTGGAAGTTTAATCATTTTGCCATCAGGAGAGGTCTTCAGTTCCTTCAATAAGGAGAACAGTGCTAACTTTGCAGGTGAAAAAAAAGTTCATCGAAGCTTTCTAGGATGTCTATTTTTTGAGAATATGTGAAAAAATTTAATTTACATAATTAACTAATTCTTCCTTGTAGTCATTCTCATCCTTGAATCTAAATATCCCTAGCAACTTACAAATGTATTAAAGTTATCAGGATGAGGGTTGGGGGCAGGGGTAGGGGTGGGGGACTTGAGGAAATTTTGAACAGGGGCCTGCCACCAAGACAAAAATAGATGAGAGAGTTGGCACTAAACATTGCCCTTTTTGCAATGGAGGTTTTAGTCGCTGATGACAAAAATGACTGTTCCTGGATCTTTCATGAACTATTAAGCATATTGACTGAAGAGGCTCAAAGAGCAAAAAAAAATAATAAACAAGACTTTTAGTTTTTATTTTCACAGTTTTTACAGTTTTTGGTGCATTAAATGTGTAAAAAGATGTGATATCAACTTCTACATGTAGTTTGAATTGACTGAAACACCTTTATTATAATTCAGGAATAAAGCCAAAAGGGGGCATGGAGGGGCAAAAATGGAGATTTGCACATCTGGGAAATCTTGAAAAAATGTTGACTTAAAAATTGTACAGTCTCACTGTACAAAAGCATCATGGAAAATCTCAGAAATCACATTTTGTTGTTTGTTCGGTGACCATAATAACTAGATCAAAAGATTTAGTTCCAATTTGAATTTTTGAGCTCATAATTATTGTAGAAAGATATAAAATAAACTAAATTCTGTTAATTTTAGTCTTAGAATAAAATTCTTTTGATTTTAGTCTTAGAATAAAATTTAGTGTCTGTAGAGTGTAGAGTGATTATTTCAGTTGAGTACCCATTTGTAAACCACTTTACTTGATAAAGCTATAATCAATAATATTAATAATGAGGTGTGGACACATCGTTAACAAAAACAGTTTGTTAACAGAAGAAGGCACTGTTTATAATCTCGGAGGTTTTTGAAGCAAAAAAAAAACTGAGATTTCAAAGCAAGATTAGGACTTCCAATTTGAATTTAGCTGAGCTCTGAGATTACAAACCAGGCATAGAGGCGAAAGAAACACAAGAAATATATTTTAATAGAAATCAACGCTTTTTTGTAAAGGTGACTAAATTAATCGACGAAAGGCGACAAAAAATCATCAACAGCGATGCGATGATGGCATATAAGTTAAAGGAACATTACTTAGGCTAGCGCTTTCAAAAGAGAAGATCGGGGAATTGACAAGAGGGTGGCAAAACACGTAATAGAAGTAACGGAAAAGTATCCTAAAAAGAAATTACAAAATCGAACCAGACTTCTAAAAACCTCTCGGAGTTGTCAAGCTGACAAGTTACAGCAAGTGAGCTTCCGTAAATAGATCTATTTGCACTCATATTGAAGCGAGGTTTCAGGAAAATAACACCATCCTTGCCCGATTTGCCCTAAGATGGAAAACCTCACAATGATGAATATATGCTACAAGTATGTATGCAAAGGATACTACCCATCCATAAGAAATCTTTCAACTAATCTGAAGAGGAAATAAAACCACAAGAAACGCCGGTTATAGACAGTTGCTTCACTTTCATGCACCACTGCGCGAAAGAATTCACGTGAATGGAGAGACCAAATAGCCTGACTTACTTGGATTTTCCTACAGCACTGTCTCCTAAACATATTACTTTCACGGACGAATCGTTACTGTTTCTATCACTGGTTTCGTTTTCATGATTAACCACAACTTCACTAGCCGCCATCTTCATTCCAAACTTCGCAATACCCGTCATGCCTCATGACTATTATGCAAGCCTCAAGCCTCGCTTTGGAAGCTTGTTGCTAGGCAACAGTTTGAGCAGCTGCCCACTTTTCCAATATTTCTAGTAAAATTAAAAATTGTCAGTTTTTTAAATTGCGCTTTGTGATAACAGATAACGACCCGGAAAGCTTTTGAGTTCCCTTGAAAATGATTGATTGAGTTTACATATGTAAAATTCCAAGGGAGAAAAGGTTTTTAAGCCCACCTGCCAGTGCTTCCCATGAGTTCTGGTTCAAGAACTCGGCATCGTCGAGCGAGCGAATAAACAGTCGAGCCAGGAAAATCTACAATAATCTAAAATTGATAATAAGGCCACTTTCTTGTAATCAATTTCGGTGTTATTTGCTAAAAATGTCGGAAGAAGAATTCAGAATTAGCACGTTGGTTCGAATTCATAAAGCGATTTTGAAAAAAAAAAATCACTTTTTTTAATGTGTGTGAAATTAAATATTTTACAAAGCATATCAGTATCATTGATGCATTCAGATGAAAAACCCTAATGGATGCTGATAATGGACCTTAGGCTGGAAATACGTCATTTCTATCCCGGTAAATTGGAGCTTTCATTTCACGTTTCTTTATAAGAAGGTAAAAAGCCACGGATTAAGTCACTGAACAAAGTTTTGGGCAATCTGATCCTCAGACTATTTTAACGGAAAGCACCAAACGCCAACCTTTATTTATTAATGCTCAGTTACAAACACTGAAAAACACCTCTGATTTACATCATCAATTTAGTAGTTTTCGAGACCGGAAACAATAACTATCCTTGCTTTTAAATTCAATAATTGTTTTCCAAAGACTTACGTAAGGTGGACAGCTGGCCTCGATATATTTACTCCCTCCAAGAGAGAATAATGAGACTTTTAATATCGCTCAAAGCCACCAGCGGGGTATTAGTGGAAAATCCTTACCGGAGGATTGTTTTGGTCGGGTCGATCAGCCGGTTATGAGTGTGTAATCATAAAATGCAGTATGTACTTCAACTGTGCATGCTTAGAGTGGCCCCAACCCTGCTGATTTCTCGTTTTTGTATGAAATGAAATTGTCAGTGATAATTGTTTAGCCACAGGTGACCCAACCCCTTGACGAAATACTACGCGCGACGGCAGCATTTTGCATAACCTTTGAAATATAAGGATTTGGGTGTGGGTCAGACGATTCAGTTTCTGTCACCCAGTAGACGATGAAATTTAAATGAAAATAAACAAACAACAACAACAACAACAACAAAGCTTATCTTATCATGTATCCTCTCTCTACATTTTCTGTTTATATCATTTTCCTTTCTTCCCGCTTTCCCACCATGTATCCATTTTTGTCTCTCTGGTTCTCTCATTTCTTTCTATATAGAGAGAGCAATCCGATCCCAATGAAGACCTATTAAATGAGATTAAATCTGCTGGGGGCCACACAGTAACGATCAAGAAACACATAGCTAAAGCAAAGTAAACCTTTTTTTTTCAAATCTCAGTAGCAATTTACGCTTTTTCGTTTCCTCTTTTTTGAAGGTGACGCAACAGCCCAATGCGCACCGAAGCGCGATGCTAAAATTTGGAGCTTGGGGTACCTGTGGTGCCAGTAACAAAAAGTCAGGGTTGATAATATTGGATTGGTCCAAGATCAAATTAATTTCTTCCTATTTCCTCTGGGCCCGGTTCCTGAAAGGCCGAATAGCGTTAATCCAGGATTAAAATTTTGTTTCGTTTTTGTATTTTACATTCTTATGCATTGCTTAGGGTGACATTTTGTGTTATCATTACCATTTCTCGTAGTAAAGGATCAACAGTATTTTGTAACCTCGAGTTGCATGTTCTTAGACGAGAAAAACGTGCTTGAAATTTTGCTTAATCCTTGCCTGGGTTAAACTTAACCATCTTTCGAGAAACAGGGCCCTACACTTTGACCAGATTGTGAGAAATGAACAGGCCCACAAGTAACATAGACTCCCTCAAAAGATGGCTTTTTGCGTGGCATGGAACGATTTTGAGGAAATATTAAACACCTCTTAGGGCTATGTAACACTTCCAAGTGATTTTAAAGACAACGTTCCCTGTCGCAATATGGAGGCATGTAACGTGTACAGGTAATAGTTGTATGAACTACAAATGTCCTGAAATAGTGTTGTAAATCAGGCTTCACTTTTGCTGTTTAAAAATCTTGCGTCGGGGTCTTAATTTGATAATGACGATAAGGCCTGTATTCTGGACACTCTGGGAACACTTCCTTAGAAATTTTACCAACAAATAAGCATGCCAATAAGCCAATAAGTTTCTAACATGGTTGACTTTATTTTAACAACTTTCAATGCTATAGCAAGCGATAACAATGATATTTCAAGAGAAGACCATGCAATAGTTATGGACTATTTACCAAAAAAATCCCTCTTCTAATAGATTTTTGTCTTTATTAAAGACCTCTTAACGCAAATAAACTGATGCACTAGCTCTTAGGTTTTTTTTTTCTATTCCACAAATCCCCCAGGTCTTATCTTACATCACACACATCGACTGGGGCTATACAAGGTAGTCAAAAAACCCAACTGCCAAGGAAAATAACTCACAGAATTCTTGATATGCGCTCTACAGAATTTCCATTATTCATACTGATTTCTTTATGGAAAGACATTTTCAGATGGCGATGCTGTTAGGAATGCGCTCCGGCAGCAGATAAGGGTAAGGTATTTCAAGTTTTGCATTCCGTTCTTTTATTTCAGCGGAGATTTGCTTCAATTTCTTCTGGAACCCAGAAATAGCAGTCTTCGCCGCCGCATCCGTGAATAGCTCCTCACGATAGTCGCCAATAAATCTCTGTGGAGAAGGACAAGATTAAGTCACAAAAAGGGTGCAAAGGCCTGACTTTTGTCTTAGTTATCTTCAATTTTTTTTCCTGCATTGTTTTGTAATTTGTTAAAGATATGAGCCCAGGAGTAATTTAATGAGTAGGTGAGGTTGCGGAGCATAATCGTCCGGATGAGCGTAGTTCTGAATATGACTGTTGTTGACAGTGTGACGGACGTTTCGACAACCGGTGCGGTAGTCATTAAAGCTCAACCTACTTAAGTATTGTAATTTGTTTGCTTGTTTTTTCTTTTCTTCATTCGAGAGTTGTCCCATGCAAGGGAATCCAAATTCCGAAATCCGGGAAATTTCTGCTCACGAAATGCGAAATCTGGGAAAATTTTACTTATTTGGAGTCCGAAATCTTGGGGTTTGGAATCCAGAATACAGGTGAAGGGATCCGGAATCCCATTTCCTCGAGTAAGCAAATAAAATTAGCAACTTCTACCAGTAGCACATGAGGTGCCGCTTCTCCCTGATATTACACTTGAGGATTTGCACCTTATTAACTACATATTTGTACAGTTCTGAGTAAAGCGCACCTCGTCCGGATAAATGCGAGTCAAATCGTACACTGTAGCGATGGTGATCGACGCTTGATGCTTGGTAGCAAGGCATTTCATTAGGTTCTCCATTGTGACCTCGCCCTTCTTTGTGGGTGGTGGCTGGCGCATAAGCGCGGGAGAATTTGGCGGGAAGCCGTACACATCCAACTGTGAAAAATTAACCGCAGCGTGCTGACATGCACAAGTAAATATAATGGCTGTGAGAAATTCGCGCAGCTGCTTGAGGTTCTTGAAGGAAGCTGGGACGCCATGGTCAACGTGTCCAGCAGTAACAGGGTATCCGTTGTCATAGAGATCTTTGATCCAGTTCTGCAGCTCATAGTCCTGGTATAAAAGATAAAATTAAACATGTACCCTGTTGAGTTATATCTAAGCGTGAAAGAAATTGAAAAAAGGGGATAGACTGCTTTGGTGTCCTTGACTTAACCTGAAGATCTGTAAAAACTAAGGAGAACATAAAGAGGAACCACGCAGTTTTCAGAGACTGATTAAAAGCATTAATTTTCTTAGCTTGTATACATCATCTGTTATTATTAACTACTTTTATTATTCATGCAAAATATTTCCCCGATTCTGATTGGCTAAAAGCATACGCATGATGTCCAAATTTGGAAGAATTTTACGTTTGATGAACCGATGACGTCAAAAGTGCAGCTTTCTTGCAGGTTAATGCACCGTAAACCGAGAAGACCTGGGGACGAGGTTGAGTTGTTTTTGGTTGTGAAATAAAAATGGCGGACATTTCACTCGTTTCAAGAGTAAGAACTAGGCGAAATAATAGCTAAAAACATGGCAAGAACAGCAAGAAGACAACTCGAAAGGCGACATCTGCTATTTGGAGAATATTTGCGGAGCTGAACAACCCTAAACGTGCACTATCGAAGATGAACTTAACATCAATGGATCGATGGAGGTAAGCATGTTTTGCCATGGTTTTAAACTAGGAATTATTTTGAATGAATAATAAAACAATTAATGAATTCGGCTTTCGTATCATATGAAGAATTATGGAGATCTCGGAGGAGGGTGTTATCCGGTGATAACACCCTCCTCGATCTCCATAATTCTTCATAAGATACTCAGCCTCATTCATTAATTGTTAATTATCCCAAGAATGTGTTTCGGGCCCTAAATGTCTGTCTAGATCTCAGCAGTCCTTCTGAACATCTTCTTTCCCAATGCATTATACTTCATGAAGAAACGTGTAAACTTCAAAAGAGCAATTGAGAGTTAGGAGGGTGAATAAACTTCGATCTAGGCTCCCCTTACCTTCTTTACGACATCATCGGAGGGATAGTAAATGGGTAGAATCTCCTTGAGGAATTCCTCGATGGCGGTCCATAGTTTCAGAGCATCTTCTCGATAGTGAAAGTTGGGCAGTTTGTTTACTTCATCAACGCCTCTTTTCTTTAAAGCTTGAGGAAGATCATAGGTGGCCCAACTAGTCGACTTGTAGTATAATTTCATTAGCTGAATGTGACCTGCAATAATGCAAAACGGAAAGATGCATCTCTGGTTTTCCCTAAACTACTTTTAGACCAAACTGAGACCCGAAGGGGGCCGAAAGAATTTTTTTGAGACCGTCCCCCCCTTTATCTCAGGGTACGGATGACCCCCCCCGCGTTATCTGAAGGTCTGGATCCGCCATTGTGAATCTACTAATCTCGTACCCAGATCTCACTCTGTTTTACACTCCCTTGGCCGTGGGAGATCTGGGTACGAGATTATGAATCTACAGCAACATAACGACCACAAATCACGCACCAGTCTTCTGGAGTTATTTATTTTGCAATAAGTAATTATGACGTCTTCTAAGAATGTCCTTTCTTCTGGCCCCCACTCACCACCCTGAGGCTATGTTTACACTATACCGGATAAATTCTTCTGACGCGGGACGAAAACCTATCCGGAACAACAACAACAGCACATACCTGACCATACCTGGAACATGTCGTTCGCACACATCCAACATGATGCCGGAGTGGAATGGCCAAGAGGGTTTAGTGAACTAAATCCCAGTCGTCACTCTAATTGAATATTTACTTCCGTCTCAGTTGATTCCAGCCGCTGCTCCTTCGTATTCACTTCCGCTACAGTCCGAATATCAGTTCAGACTGCACCAAAGCATGGCACAGAATCTAGCGATGATGTGACGCTATACTTTCGATGCGACGCAGCTTCACCAAGTGACAGAAATCATCGTTCGTTCGTGTGAACAGAAGCCCTCTATATCCTGCATAGTTTTGTGCCCGTGCAAGAGCTACCCGGTAAAGTGTCAACATAGTGTAACCCATCGAGGTACAGAGGGTTATATTTTGTACCTGCATGATCGTAGTTTGTTCTCGAGACCCGGAAACAGTCAATTAACAGCCACGGGAAACATATGCCAGTGAAAATCTTGAATGACTGTCTACTTAAAATGATTTTATTTTTGTATGTAAACCAGAATTGTCAATGGTAATGCCATACGTACCTCCACCACCGACAGTGAGAGTGTTATCAGCCACCCCTCCCTCAGCAATCAGGCGATCTCGCCCAAGAGTGTTGATAGCTAGAACTCCTCTGATGTGAGGAGACAACAATTTCCACATGGGGTGGATTGTGGGCAGTTGTCTGTAGCTTGCGACAGCAATCGGTTCCATGAAAAGATGAGTACGGAGAAGATGGGTGATCATCTAAAAGGACAAGAAAGCTTGTATTTGAAATTTGCGATACAAAGGATCTTTTATTTACAAAACGTGAAGTGAAGTATTCACTTCCACCCATCAGAGGGCTAGCCCCGGGTTCAGTACTTGCCTTGGAACCAGCCCCCCAGGGTCTTGAAATAACTGAGAAGATTTTTTCTGCCTTTGGTTCAAATCTGTTATAAATGGTCGGACATTCTTGTCTTCTCGGATAAGAACGAAAAAGCGTAGGCTCCGTCTCACACCATTCTCTGAACTTAAACTGACGACCGTGGGAGGAGAAGGAATCAAAGATCGGGGGCGTACTATTCTCTAGCAGTGAACTCAACATTTCCCCCAAAATTGCGGCTTGGTTGTGACATTTTGTTTTGCACCTATCCATGTAAATCCCGCGAGGGGGCAGTAGGAGGGGGTGGGGATTGCGGGCAATAGACGGGGATTTCACATGAAATCCTTTCCCTGGGTGAGAATTTTGTGGGTATCAACTGCAAATAGTCAGAAAGGCATGTCGTTTTTTGTTGTTGTCTTTTTATGTTAATTTCATTCGAATTCTCTTTACATGTGTACCACTGAGGCACAGGGGAGGTGGCTCTCATTATACTTAACTCAATAAAATATTTCAATATAAGCGCAAAGTCTTTGATAAATGAACAAATGTATCAATAAAATGTGTTTTTATTTTCAATCATTTTTGAAGATTAAAGCGAGGGTTTTACGATTAAACTAGTAAAAATTTGAAGGGTAAATTTCTTTGCAAGGTTACTTTTTTATGGACAACATGAGACAATATGTAGGGAAACGAGGTTGTCAGGTTTGTGACATTCACCTTAAAAGGTATGTGAAATAAATTTATCAGACTCGTCTGTCAGCTAGTATTTTGCCCTTGGGTTGGGAAATTTAGCTATATTTGACGAATGTACCCTTCCCCACCCTTGGGAAAATGACCAAAATTCTCACTTCTTAATCAAAATCCCCACCCTTTGGCTGCACTCTCCCCGTCCCCCTTGGGGTTTACATTGATAAGTGCAATATCAAACAGTTACATCAGCCAAACTGTCAGCTCACGATTGTTTTTACTGTTTTTTGGCTCCTCTCAAACTCTTTACCTGATGAAACTGAGTGTCCGAGTTTCTCAACCAAAACTTTGCACAAAGCCAGTCCAGCTTGGAGTCGTTCGGGGTCCATATTGGATTATCATCGCTTGGCTGCTGATGGAACTGGATGGCTATTGGCACCAGGTCTCCGCTTCCTTTAACATAGAAAAGACCCAGGCTTGCGCACATGTACCTTCGTTCCAGATCCTCTCGGTTCTGACCATAGTGCGGAATGTCCTCTAAGATTTTGTAATCCACCATGTACATCCTGCCATCCTGTAAATGGTCAAACCAACATTTCAAATACGTTTTAGCAAGTAGAGCGATTTTCGTATGACCTTGAAATGAAAACGCAAGAAAAAAACAGAAACAAATGAACGGGAATAGAGCGATTTCATTTCAGTTTATCGGACGGATACAAACGCGCTTGGCTTTTGGTGAAAAACGCCCAAGAACTTTCTAGAAATCAACCGATACTTCGTTTTGACGTCATACTGCAACACGATTGGCCAATCGAACAATGTCTTTTCCATATTAGAGTTTTCTTTGGTGGGAAAACATGTTTTGATCTTTTCATTCATTGGCTGATAAAGCAAATAACGAACACTTACCGAAACCACTTTTCAAGGCAGAAGCATATATGGTTCTCTTCAAGGTCATACGAAAATCGTTCCATCAGCATTACTTTGAAATTACTGTAAGCCTTTTTGTCTTCCCAGATGGGCTAAGGGTTAGTACGGAGGGTGCGTAGGTACGGAGGAAGTTAGTTCATTTCGCTGACTTCGTTCGAAAACATGAACGTAAAAGACTTAAACTATAATAATAACAAACAAACTTTGAATTTCTCTCAAAGGTAAGATTTTGGTGTACAAAGAGCGGCTTTTGCGCAAAACATTGTCAGTTCCTCTGCAACCCATCCTCGGAGACCTAGGAGCAGTCAGCCGCGCGCGTCGGGAGAAAAGGCGCGACGAAAGTTTTCAAGCTTTCGTCAGTCGCGCCTTTTCTCCCGACCCGACTGACTGCCCCTGGGTGTCCGACTGTCTGCAACCATGAAAAGCAATCAAGTTTTCCCAACTTTTGACCGTAAGTAGTCATCAGGACTGAGAAAAAAAGAAAACAAAACAAACAAAACGAAAAAAACAAAAACATAACATCAAAAAATGGCCATTGATAAGTCTTTACTAGGAAGCCATCATCTGGTGTTATCTAGTATGGATAAAGAAAAAAAAACGGTAGACCGCCCGTTTCTACAGCAAGTTAAGCTCACTGCTGCGCTAGCTCGGTGTAGTATAAAGAATCTGTGGGGTTATGGGTTCCTGGTGGGGTACAAAGAACTACAGGGAATGTAACAGGAGTTTCTGGCAGTAACCACTCATCATTTACCAGCCCAAGTTTCTTGAGTTTTACTGAGCTTCGCGTCATCATGGCAACCTTTTGAGGCCTTTTTCGGGTTCAATGGCCCTTATGCATGGTTGCATCATACGAGCAAATTTCACCACCACGCTTCGTCTGAAAGAAAAATTCTTCGCATTTGCACTTGTTGCGCTTAGTTATTCTTTTCAACTCTACTGCCTTGGCAATTAATTTATGCAAAATTTCGCAACTTTACTATTTCAAAACGAGGCTTGGTGGTGAAATTTGCTGTCTGACGTAAAAATGCATAATCTAGGGCCATTGAGGTTTCTGGTTAACAGTCCACCTAACCCTCCCCTAAGTTACAATTTTGCCCTAAGTAAGAAACCTTTTTAGCTAGGACTTGATGTAGATAATAGTTTTTACCTTCAGTGCTTTCTTTAACGTGTCTCCTTTGTCCAACAGATTACCGACCAACTCCTGTTTGACAGGAAAGTTTGATGGCAGTTTGGTGCATCTTTTGATGGAGTCTGGGTTACATCCGTTCAGGAATTGGGAACCAACGAAGCTATCATCCTGCCAATGCTCTGCTGCTTTAGGCACATCTCCGATGAAACTGGTAAATGCCTGCAAAATTTATTGATTAGAATTAACCGATTTAACGTATATAATTATAGAGAAATACAGTAAGGCCTGGGTTTTAAAGCAACATTTTTTATTAAGTCAAGTTATTCAGTCAATGCTTCTTACAACCTTTCGCCCGTCAATCAGATTTTCTTGCGAGTTGAAATTGTGGCGCGTAATTTTTATGTTGCAGTTTTATGTTGCAGTAATATGCGAGATGATGAAATGCGCAAAATCATTTCATGATAATAAAACTTGGCCAACGGAATCGTGCATAGCATAACTCAAAGGATAATTATTACTCTTCCACTTACAATGTTTTATTGCAGAAGCAAAACAAGAGCATCCTTGCCTAAAATGCACTACGAATGCAGCAAGTTGTCAACTTTTAGCCTGAAACCAGGCTCCGAATTGGTGGAAAAAGAAAAAAAAATCTGCGAGCGAAGCCGGTAGTCTTGGGAGATGGCAGATAATGCTGTGCCATTTGAATGTCGGTTTATAACTCCGTCAATCGCTTCGGAAATGTGACCGTAGTTTATCACAGGAGAGTATAAAAAGATCGATATTTTGAATGCTTTTTTTCATTTTGCAACAGACCACAGGCATATTTGTAGCTCTTCTTTGAGCCGAGCGACTGATATGCGATAAGTCTCGCACAGAATTTTGTATTGCTTGCCCGAAATTCGTGGTTAAGAAAAGAAAAATGTTTTCCCAACTTGAAAGAGCGTGATATTTCAACTGTCAGCAACACCGCGAAACTGTCAACATTAAGACATTTGACCAATCATAGTATGATACCAGAATCTGGTATTATGGGACAGCTACATCAAAGGCATGTCTCCAGGCTCCGCCGCGCTTTCCCCTCCACAGTCCACCCCTGGGCTTGCTTCGCTCGCCGATATTTTTTGCTGTTTCACCCTGTTTTTTGCCTTCTTCGGCCACTGCGGAGCCTGGTCCCAGGCTAATTAACAATTATTCCTCGAGCCCGAATGGGCTCTGAGTCGGCCGAATGGGCTATTAACTCAGAGGCCATGAAGGTGAGACGAATAATTGTTTTAGTAAAATCCAATGTAGTTGGTAAAAAATATCAAGAATAAAAAAGTTTTAGCTTCTTAAAACTTTAAAAAGCCGGCGCTTTTCGCTACTAGTGGGCTGTAACATATAGCCTAGTAGTAGCTCAACCAATCAGAACGCAACATTGATAATAGACCACTAGCTGGATTAATATTTTACTAATCAACTTTATACCCCTCATATCATGACCGAGTCAAATACCTTACGATAGTCGTCAAAATCGTCCCACTGGTTAAAGATGTTTAGGAGACTAACAAGACCAAGGTTCATCAAAGCTTTTCTCCTAGCACGGTGCAAGTCATAGGCAGCTTCCTCAGTGAACTGTACGTCTTTTGGAAGATCCTTGACACTTGCGGCTTTTACGAAGCCGGGCAGATCGGAGTACGCTTCATCCCTCCCCCATTCGTACAGCGAACGCCTGTGCTTAAGCTCCTCTTCTCTACGAGCCTTCACGGTGTCATGCTGTTCATCTGTAGGCAGTTTAGCTGAATAAAAACAGAAGGATCACAAGCATACAAGAAAACTGGGTTGTGCTATGCTGGCAGTGATGGAAGTGAAGTTTAAGTTGCGGGAAATACAGGCAGAAACTTAAAAAATAATACCTTTTAAGCCTGTACTTAAATGTTTAATTCTCTAGCGTGACTACCAACAACGCGGACAGTGGTTTGGCCACCTGGGTTTAGTGTCCCCTTTTGTTAAAATATCATCTTAGGCTCAAAACTGCGCATTCGTATTGCACTGCTCAAGCCAGCATAATTCCAGGACAGTCTTAGGAGTATGTATACTGGCGTGCGTTTCCCGTCACTTTCTACATATTAAAATGACATGAAAGTCTCAAAGTGATCTTTAAATATGTTCACAACGTTACCTGTTCCCTCGAAGATGATAATCTCACTCTGGACCCAGCGGTTGCATGGAAAATCATAAATGGCATCATCCCCTTTGACTTTGATGGTCACTCGGTTCACGAACCAATCACTGTAGAGACCACTCCCATCTTGCTTCAACGTCACCAATAAAGGCTCGCCGATATCTTTGGTTTTCACACGGTACTCATCTTTTTGCCCGGCTTCAAAGTCATTATGAAACCACTTGTCAAGTTTCTTCGGATCAGTTTCTCCGTTGGTACCTTGTTGATAATAAACGAAAAGTATGGTCACCGATCGACAAATGAATTCACTGTTCCATGAATTACACTCGAGAACGGGGGACGGGTACAAGTTTATATCTACATCTACATCTACCTAAATCACATCGGTAAAATCGCTCATGATGACATCTCACCAACAGTAAAATAATATAAACTAGTGATATGAATTTAAATAAAAATAACTATGTAACTAAAACAAACTTAAGAAAAGCTGATGATCAAATTACATTTAAAGGACTCTAATGATCAGAAGTTGATGATACAATAGCCTCAGGGAGGCATGCGCAGTTCCAGTCAGCTAATTGACACGTTTATGGCTCAGCTGTGTCACGGATCTTTTTGGTCGCTTGCATCTCAAGGGATTCCCCACCAGACCTTTGCCCGGCGAAAGTTGCGAAAGTTTTACATACCCATTATAGTCATTATGTAGTGGCGAATTGTAGCGTCTGGTGTATAGCAGCACTAGGGAGGTAAGTTATAACTCGGTAAACTTTTGCGGCGGTGCTAGAGGTCATCGAAGTAATAGGCGGTTAATTTTAGACACCAAGGTCTTCCTTCGTGTTAATCACTTGATGAGTTCTCTTCCATAATTACTCGTCACTTGTTTGGCTCGAGGTTATTGTAGGCTATTGCTATCTTACTGGTCCCGGTTTCTCAAAAGATAGGTAGCACTCCTGGTAAATCATTATCCTGCAGTGCATAAATATTCGAGGGAAACCAGTTGTGTTGTCCATTGGATAGATTCATCCAGTAGACAGCGTTATCCACCTTTCCAACAACTGAGACCTCGACCTGAGGTTCCGAGTCATTTGAGTAACAGAATTTAATTGGTCCAGTTATAATTAGCCTCACGGCCGGGTACCTTTAATAGCGAGAGATACTGTTGCATCGGTACCAGCTCCCTTTCTGTCTCCTGTGACAACAGTGACCATGTACTCTATCCTCTCTTTTGCAGAACCTAGAAAAATATAAAATTTATTGTTCAAAAAACAACCTATTTCAGAGTTAACAAGAGAGTAAATTCTGAAGGCACTTTACTGAGCATTTCCTCTCCCTTTTTTTATTGTACACGGTCATCTTGAGGCCCGCTCAACTTGAAAGTATAACGACCATTTCAACGCAAAAAAATTATATGATACACGGTCGTCACTTTGAAGATATCAACAAACAAGAGAAAATATCCTTTCGTGTAACAAATCCAGTTGTAGTAAATTATATGGAAAAGAAGCTCGATATAACGAAACCTACCCTGGGTACCAGAGGTTTTTTTCTCGCGTGCTACGGGGAACTTCGTTTCGTCCGGCGCAGACACACGTTTTAAGACTTGACCTAGACCGGAAACCGCACATGAAAAGCCTTTGGCACCCAGGTTAAACGAAACCTCGTTATAGCGAACAATTTTTTTGCCAGTGCCTTGGCCTTTGTTTTATTGAAGTTTCACTGTATGAGTAAACGTTGTTGCTGAGATTTATGGATTTGCACGAATTTGCAAACTTTTCTGAGGAAATTTTTCTCATACTCTGCCTTAACTATTAATGGGATCTCGTTTTTAATGACTCTATGCATTAGCTATCTCCGAGCTCCGACGGTAACCGGAATAATATCATAAGTGGAGTTGATTGTATTATTCAAACATTCTTATCCCTACGTGTAGCCATCTGACCAGGGCCTCCTGAAGACTTGATATTGTTAAAGCGTCGGTAACTTATGTTAGGCGGTTTCACTTTGTGACTCACCGAAGCACATAAACACCGGGGGGTTATACACCCTATAATGTCCTATACGGGGAGGCTCCGCCCGAAAGGGTAATCCTTTCAGGCTTCTGAAAGGGTAGGGATTTCACTTGTTGAAGTATATGAAAGGGTAGGGAAATCTGTCATTTCCGGGTCGGTAAAAGCTAGGCGTGAAAGGGCTAACTGATGAATTTTATGGCTTTGAAAAAATTAGAAAAAGGGATCTGGTTTTGTAATTTGTTCAAATTTAACAACAGAGTATCTATGGCAGTTAAAAGGGAGGCAAAGTTCTAAACCAGGTTTAAGAAAGAGGTTCCATTTGTCTATAGAAGGTACTGATCATAGAAAGTGGCACCTTAGCTGGGAGTGTCAAAAAGGGAATAAAAAAGGGTTCCGAACGGGTTGGACCTCGGGGCGGAGCCTCTCCGTATAAAACTTTGTTGAGTAGCCCCCCCGGGGGGCTCACACACAGTCAAGGTCATTGAAGTCTTCCTAAGCACTCAAAATTTGCATTGGAATCTGTTCTATTTGCACTGAAGAGGTCAGGCGAAAACACTGTTGAGGTAATGAATGCCCTTTATCTCTTGATCAACATTTATAAAGAGGTTTTTGAAGAGTACCCTGGCGAAACTTAAAATATTTGACAAAATAAGGCAATTAAAGTTATTGATACAGTTGCTTTTTCGTTAACTGCGGTTATTATCCTCATTCAAAATGTATTTTTCTCATGCATGATTTTTGTTTGTTTCGGCTTTGAGATAATAACACATAAACATGCATGACGAGGAACTCGCAAAACACGAAGAATATAATCTGCTTGTCGACATCGATAATGATATGGGGTCCTGTCCGTAATATTAAGAATTTTCTTGAGTAAATATCAGAATTAGAGAGAAAACGATAGAGTAAACAGTGGCCAGCGATAACGGCAACTGCTACAGAGGACATGAAATTAAAATTCAACTGCGCAACCCCAACAGGAAATATAAACAAACACACACAAAAACGGTTGTTTAACAATTCTCTGAAATATTAAAAACCGAGTAGACTCAATCCAGTTTTACCGCAGTACTGGATTAGGTACATCACTCGATTTTCTTTAATTTGGAAATGCACAGGTAAGGCAGCCGTATAAATCTAGTCCAGTGTACAGTTGTAAAAATAGAAGTTTTTGCATGACCGATTTTAAAACCTTATATTAAAGAAATAGGATACAAATTCAATGGTACAACTGATAGCTTACCTTTACCACGAACTTTACTTTTGATGTTTTTAAAGAATGCCATAATTAAAGCTTACAACCCGCTGACAGAATACCTCTCCTAACGGTTGTGAGTTACGATCATTTCCTTGACCAACCACAAGTCAAATTAATTGTGTTGTCTATGGCAATATGGCAATCGGTTAGGTACGTGTGCATGTAAATGATACGACAGCAAGTGAAAGAATTTCCGACTTCCGACTTCCGACTTCCAACTTCCGATTTCCGACTTCCGATTTTCTGAGTTCTTGCTTTCAGTTTATTTAGGCCCGTTTCAAACGTCGTGCTACTGCCGCGCCGAACTGAATTGATCAAATTAAATTCGACTTTAGCACGGCAGTAGCGCGACGTTTGAAACCAAGTCGTGCTACTGCCGTGTAGCATGGCCAGCCTTGCCGTGCTACACGGCAGTAGCTCGACTTGGTTTCAAACGTCGTGCTACTGCCGTGCTGAACTCAATTCATAAATTACAAATTCATTAGAATACATCTAAAAGTTTGCTGAACCGTTTCTTTATTATTGTGTTTTGTTTTCGGCAACAGCCGTTCTATTCGACTGAATTGAATCAAGTCGTGCTAGTGTCGTGCTGCAGTCGAGCTACAGTCGAGCCAGCTTAGCACGGCAGTAGCAAGACGTTTGAAACAGGCCTTATTCATATGATAAATACTACATAACTAGCTAAGCAGTACAAAACAAAGTGCCTCGTCTACCTACGATCACAGACTTCATCGGACAGTTTTGTTGTTATGTCTCTGGGTTTCTGAACGAGGGTCTCGGCGTCTCAGATGTGTTTAGAGCCATGTTTAGCCCTGCCTACAATATTAGGCCTGCTTCACGTTCACTGTGCTACTGCCTTGCTAAGCTGGCTCGCCCACTGCAGCACGACACTGGCACGACTTGGTTTCAGACGTCGAATTTAATTCCGAGTCGAATAACACGGCCGTTGCCAAAAACAAGACACAAAAATATAGAAACGGTTTAGCAAACTTTTAAATGTATTCTAACATATTTATAATTTATGAATTGAGTTCGGCACGGCGGTAGCACGACGTTTGAAACCAAGTCGCGCAGTTGGGTTCAGTATGTTGCCCAGTATCCGGACACTTCAGTTTAAGATTGCAATAACTTTCCTTTGTTAATCGCAAGAGCTCTGAAATTTGGCCCAGAGAAAATCTATCTAGTCCTTAATATGACGAAAGACAGTTTAACTTTTTCGCCAGCTTTCGCCTTTGTTTCCATCGCGAAATTAATATTTTTGCAGAGCTCCTATCTTGCCCAGTATCCGGACAGCTGGCCCAGTACTATCCGGACACAACAATAACAACGTAATTGTACATAAATTTTGACAGGCAAGCGACTTATAAGTTTCTATTGCACTTGCAAAGTAGTCTGGCAATCGATTCCAAAAATATAACCTAGCATCGTGAAATAAAACATAACAAATGACTGGGCTATGGTGGGGAACGCGAGCGGCTGTTTTAAAAATGGTGTGATTCTTACTTCCTTGTCTAGGACGTTTTTCACTGATTTAAGGAAGGCATCCGTTGACATGCCGAAGCGGAAGTTTGCAAGCTCAAGTAGCCAATCTGCAAACTACTTTCTTTCCTCATTTTTTATTAAAAAAAAAGCTTGGGGAAGGGACCTCAATCCGACCATCCTCGGAGACCCAGGGGCAGATAGTGGAGGAGAGGGAAAGTCTAAACAGGCGGGAAAATATGGCACAAAAGAAAAGTAAAGAACGGCCAGAAGAGCCCCTGGGGACAATGTCTTACCAGACCAGTTCCAAACGGTCGCCGCCCTTCTGGCTTCTGATTGGTGCCAGAAAACTTGTGTTTTTCTGGCACCAATCAGAAGCCAGAAAGACGGCGACCGTTTGGAACTGGTCTGGTAAGGCATTGTCCCCAGGGGCTCTTCTGGCCGTTCTTTACTTTTCTTCGTGCCTTATTTTTCCGCCCGTGTAGACTTCCCCTCGCCCCCACTATCTGCCCCTGGGTCTCCGAGGATGCAATCCGACGGTCAAAGGTCACTCTCCTATTTAGTCTGAGTCTGACCTGCAGTGTTGATTTCTTCATGCTTCGTCCCCACAATAAGCCTGCTTTTCTAGCACTAATTCCTCCTTCTTTCACATCGATTCACATCTCTTAATCCCTTTGTGACATTTTTCAGACCGTTGCAACCCCATTCTATCAGTCACAAGTGGGGAAAGTACGAGAATTCCAGGTTCAACTCAGACGCTTTCAGTTATATGTAGAAAATGCAGTCACGCGAAACAAGCCGTGCACACGAAATCAAGTCGCCTGTGAATGAGTGAAGAAAATTTCCATACGGAGTTGAGTAGAATTACATTTTACGACTATATCATATATCCTAAGCTTTAATTATAGTTACTGATATGAAATAAATCTTAACCGGATAATGTACACAGCTAATTCATCGATTCTGTACGGCAAAGAAAAAACTGTCCGGATACTGGGCACATGACATCAAAACTTAGTGAATGTTTCTGGCCTCCGTTATTCCAAACAAATCGAATTTCAAGAAGAATTAATAAACTTTCTGAAAACCTGACTTCCTTAAGAATCTTCACGATAAAAATAAAACAGTTTCTTTGAAAATATCACACATTACCCTCCCTTTTCTGAGCAGCACTAATTTTACTGCTAAGTAAACAGCGTAAATATTGGCCATGAAAAGTTTACTCACCTGAACAGAACGGCGTCTTCTGCGACTGTTTCGCAAGCTTTCAAATCGCCAAAACTTTCATCTTAAAGCTGAAATGTTCAGCTTTCATTCGAAATACATCGTTTACCGAGAACTGAAAAGGGCGCCTCAAAAACTGAGTTTTTGTTTCAACTGTCCGGATACTGGTACCGTCCGTGTTCGGTACGGCAGTAGCACGACGTTTGAAACAGGCCTAATGTCTAATACAGAGTTTCCACACTTCTTACTAAGTACAAAGTAAGGCCGATTGTCACCCTTTTCCCTCATCACGAAAACGTGTCATTATCGATCATTATCTAAGGTTCCGTTCACACGTATCCGTTGTTATGAAAACGGAGATTATTTTCCCCCGGTTTTTTTTTAATCCGCCTCGACAGGTTATGTTGTCCACAAGAAATGGCTGTAAACGGAAGTGAAGTAAACGGATACCATCTTTGATTGGAGCATGCGCACATATTGGGATCCAACACCGTGACGTAATCGTCAGCCAGTTAAAATTCGATAAGGCCGCGTTTTCATCCATTCACACGAGTACAGCATTAAAACGCCCTTTTCAAAAATCTCCACTCTGGAGAGCTGTCTTGAAATGACGCATTTTTGCAATTTTGGTGAGCGTTTTCACCGGATGCGTGTAGACGGTAGTCCAATTTCTCCGTTTTCAAACAAAAACAGGTACGTGTGGAAGGGCCCATGACCTATTTTGAGTGGAGACTTTGAACTCATAATCAGATAGCCTGTTCCAGGCGTTCAGATAGTAACGCGAGGTGTTCAGATGGTGGGGAACCGGTAGCCTGCAGGTGTTTTTTAACGCAAGCTCAGAGGTCAGGAGCCAGAGGTACATTGATTGCGGCCGCCATCTTGAACTCGTTCCAACTCTCTGGTAGTATTAACGTCCTAGATGGCGGGATAACGTTATTCCGAAAAAAAAAAAAAAAAACATTGATCACGCTGCAAAAGACGTCTGCTTTGGTGGCTTGGGAGCCGGGGAAAACGAGAGCGAAAAAGGAGGGAACTCTAGCTACTATCTGAACACTGCCTGGAACAGGCTACAAGTCAGAAGTCGGGTCCTACTTTGGCTATCACTTCACCCACGCACATTACCCCATTTTGGAGTAAGACAGTTCTTCATTTTTACGGGTAGCAAATGTACCAGAATGTTTGTATTGTAGGTGAAAAGTAAAGTGTTCTTCACTCAATATAAAGTAGATACACAAATGGAAAGTGACTAAATTGGGATCGCGAAAATTACACACTTGCCCAAAAGTGACTAAGATGGGGTCTATAATTGGCCACAGAATGGACTGTAATGGGGTAGGGGCTCCTAGGGGCCAGCGGCACATACCCAGCAAAAATTAACTCAAGTACCCAACCCCCCCCACCACCCCCCCCCCCCCCGGGCACATTTGACCTGAAGTAAATGTTGAAGGTCTTCGATGCAAAGTCAAGTGACCCGCGACAAAGAATCCCGCTTTGTACCATGCAGTCGGGGGAATCAAAGGAGCAGAAAAAACAAATCCAGGATCAAACAAAAGTGAAAACTTGCATATTTTGCGCCGTTATCTTCATGCTTGCTTATGTGATAACAGCGACCTACATACCATTTCCCAGACTGCATCTTCCCAATGTTATCGACAGAGTCGTCTTCACTCTGCGATGGCTGATGGTTTCTCTACTGGCAATCTATGCTGGTGTCATTGCAGTTGGAAGTAAGCGATTTGCTACAGCTGCCATCAATCCACTGGATCCGAGCGGTAAACAGTTCACAGAGCTTCGTCAACAGTATCTTCAAAACACAGTGGAGCAATTCCTGCTTCATTCATTCAGTCTTCTAGCGTTGTCGACTTACCTTTCTGAAGAGAAGATGCATTGGATTCCGCTGTTGATTGTGCTCTTTATAATCGCGAGAGCTCTGTTTTTCATTGGGTATTCCATTGACCCTTTGAAGCGAGGAGTTGGATTTGCAAGTACTTGGTACCCAACTATGGCTGTCACTGGATACTGTTTGTATTGTATGTGCGTGTATGGTGCGACCTTTGACGTTAAATGACTACATAAAGAATCGTAAGGGACTCGGTTTCAATCAGCTGTTCAATACACGACTGTGACGAGTCAACTGTTGAAAACTTGCCTTTGCTGGGATTTCTACCGGGCGATTGATATAAGCTAGAAATAGGTGCCATTGCAGAACCTCGTAAAGTTAATGAAGAATGGTTCTACTCGACACGTACCGCTTTATTATTTCAACAAAGTACTGCTTTTTTTCCCTTAAATAACCATTTCCTTTGAGTATCATTTTCAGTTTAAAATTGCCAATCCTGTAATATCAGGGCACTAGCCTGGGACCAGGCTTCTTGGTAGGGAGCCGCAAGAAAAATAAAATCAGAGAAGGTGGCCGTTCTGGGTTAATAACCTACTCACGCGCAACACAAAATTTGAATTGCAAATGCAAAGTTAATAGCTATTTTGTTACACACGATCTTGTATTTCAAACGTGCTTATCAACACGAGATATTGCGCCATGGTGACCAAATCTGAAAAGGATGAGAAAAAATACACCAGAGAGCAAAGAATGGTCCTCAACTACAGGAATATGGCATTCATTTTCTTATTCTGTTTTACCATGGCCGGATTTTGCATTCCGTTCCCAAAACTCCACCTTCCCACTTTACTCGATAGAGTTGTGTTTACACTACGATGGTTAATAGTTTCACTTGTTACGATCTGTACTGGTGTCGTCGTGGTTGGAAATACAAGATTCAAGACCTCCGCTATCAACCCACTGGACCCTGAAGAGAGAAAGTACGCGGAGCTACCACAGAGGTACCTTCAAAACACTCTGGAACAGTTCACGCTTCACTCGTTTAGTCTGTTTGCATTGTCGACTTATCTTTCTGAAGAGAACATGCATTGGATCCCGTTGTTGGTTGCGCTCTTTGTCATAGCAAGAGTGGTATTTTTTGTAGGGTACTTCATTGAGCCTATAAAGAGAATTCCGGGATTTGTTCTGACTTTTCTCCCAACATTGGCTGTCGGTGGATATTGTTTGTACTGTATGTGTGTGTACGGAGTACAAACACCTCACTCAACCGGAACTGAAAGCTCTTGGCATCCACCTCCTGCACGCCACTGAATCAAGACCATAAACGTCACAGTTTTGCAACTTAATGTAGGTTATCATATTAGCTAGGCTAAGTCCTGACTAGCTAAATAAGTACAATTGCCACGTTATCGGCTTCAGTCCACACGAGAATAGTCTTGAACATATACTAGATTTTTTGTTAAACAGGATTCGTATGTATATATATTATATCAGCTAACATCGTTGTCATGTGCTTCTTATCGATTCTTAAAACTGATTATTTATTCGTATTAACAAACTTAGGAGGACTGTTGTGGGCCCAATCTATATCTCCTTTCCGTTTTCATGTTTCTTCGGGCACATTTTCGGGCACATTCTATGTACTTAAATTATTTCCTCTGCATCTATCAAATCCGCAGTGGTCTGGTGCTTAGCGTGCTAAACTATGTTTTCTAGGTCATTGGTTCAAATCCTGTCGCTCTTCAAAACAGTTTTTTTTTTCAAATTGAAGAGACTTGCACTTTCATGAACATTTCCAGCTTGGAATGTCATCTAAGTGTGATATAAAAGCAAAAAACAGTTCTACCTTGTGTAAATTTCATAAGGGGAAAAAGGGTTTACGGCCGATGGGATCTAATGCTGACCTATATTTTGAGGGTGGTGGCGCTGCTAGAGGCCTGTGACGTCACCAGCAGTGGTCGCCATGACGCAGTTGGCTGCCATCTTGTTTACCAAGAATTAGAAATCAGATTTAAACCGCGAGAAATGGTAATTTTATATGCTTTACATGAAAAATAACACATAAATAACCACTTTGCATCATTTTAGCCACAAGATTTACTTTTATTGTTGTAAGAAATGGAAAAAACATGTATTTTTACCCAAAATGGCTTGATCATCTGTTACTTATAACGTCATTTTTAGTAACCAGAGCAACTGCCTATCACTAAACTTGTCTCAAAATGTGCGAGAGGAATGAACGAACAGGTACTGAAAACGTCAGGTACTGATGTTTTATCCTCTTATGGGGGGTGACATCCACCCCACCCCCTCCCCTTGTACGTCCGAGGGTTAACACTACCATTCTTTAGCTTTTTCAGTTTAAAACTTTAAGTATATGACGAACTAACAATTTATTTTGAGAAGACTAATCCTCGTGGACCCAGAAGCAGTTTGACGGGTCGGTAGAACCTGCGCCAAATATTAGTTTTCAAGCATTGTTTCCCCTGACCCGACTGACTACCCCTGGCCAGTCTCCGAGGCTGCAGATGTTAATCTGGCATGTGACAGCCGTATACATGCGATGAAGATTTAACTTGGAGATGAGATACAAAAACAAGTTATTAGCCGAACTAAAAGCTCTGAAATCCAGAGCCAAGTAGACCGAAGATATATCGTACAACAACTGGGTGAGATCAAAAATCAAGTTTGTATTTCTGAGCAAACACTAATTTCTTGTATGCATGACGCAAGTCGCCAAGATTCTCAATCACAAACAGAATTAAATGAGCGCACGTTCGCCGCAGTTTCAGCAAACAACATTCACTTGCAGACTTTCCAAAGGACTGCAACTGAATAAATCACAGCAGAAGCACAACAGATTTGCAGTACTTGACCCAGAGTTTCCAAAGATACAAACACATGTGTTTAATGAGCAAGCCCGGAAGGAGACTAAGGGGCCCGTGGAGGGAGGAAGATCCTGCTACCAGGAAGATCCTAGAGGGCGGATCATCCTAGCGCCATATGTTTTCTGTATTCCGTTTACATGCAAAGGGTTGCACATGTCCCTAGCGCTAGGATCTTCCTAGCTAGGGTCTTCCTAACTGAGAGGTAGGAAGATCCTAGCTCCACGTAAACTGCTTTCGCTAGGAAGATCCTAGTGCTCCTAGTGCTAGGGACAAACGCGACAAAAATGTCGGCGGGTCGTTCAGTGGCTAATTACGGCAATAAAGGCCGACCATTTCGTTTTGGAGTAATCCACGAGCAGATTATTGTGTTAATTCAGCTGAAAGGTAGTGATTTACGCCAGTAAAGAGAGCAGCAGGACGCAAATTGCATTTTTGATTTTGTCGTCCGCCATTTTTAATTCCTTCTCTAACCTTCTCTACTTGGACAACTCAGGGGCCGAAATTTCTGCATGTAAACCCAACGTAAAGTTAATCCACCTTCTAGGATCTTCCTCCCTCCAAGCGAACAGGCCCTAAAAAGTAGCTTGAGTCGCAAAATGGCCCCATACTCATGATCGGCGACTCCATCTTAAGAAGAATCTAAGAAAGAAAGTTTTGTCCTCAACGATTTGTCAACAAGCAATATGTACCAGGAGGAACAGGAGAAATGAAACAGCACATTGAAGCAACGGTGGATAGGAATGTGTACGATCATGTAATTGTACATCCTAGAAGAAACGATGTTGATAAACTCAGAGTAAACGACATAGCTATGAACATGGAAAGCTGCGTAATTACGCTAATTAAAAGCGACGATGGCCGAACGCAGAAATTGCTTTGTCTGGACTCACATATGCTCCTAAGGAATACAACACAAAAATTGATGATATTAATTGCTGCTACGAGGCAATCTGCAAGGAGCATAGCATCACCTACATAAATAATCAAAGGGTGACCGCTGACACTTTTAGAAACATAGATCCTAAGGTATTTTTTGACGATTTACATCTCAACAACAAAATAGGGACCAAGAGACTGGTACCGAAGATTAAATCACGCATAGGATTAAGAAGAAGAGAGGGCAACAGGGAACAAACTAGCAGGAGGCAGTAGAACTCGTCAAGGTTACAAAACAGATTTCAAGATGGAATTCGAGGCAGTACAATTGGGAGTTCCCTCCTTTAAGGATTAAACGCCCTTACTGGCTACTTTAAAGACTTTAAAAAGCACGATCCAAGATAAGTGCCTCTTAATAGTGTTCAGTTGCTCTCCTGGAGGTCTAAGTCTGCGAATTGGATGCTGGAATATCAAAGGTTTCAATAGAAAAAGTTTAGGCAATAAGTTTCAGCAAAGTGAAGTGGTAGATATAATAAATAAGCATGATATATTTGGGATAGTACAAACTCATGCTGACAGCAACTCGAACTTACAAATTCATGATTTTAGGCACTACGTTAAACAGAGAGAGAATAGCAAGGGAAAACGTAACCCAGGCGGCATTGCCGTGTACATAAGGAAAACGATTATCGAGGGAACCTCATTCGCAACTGCACGTAATAAGAATATACTATGGATTAAGTTAGATAAATCTTTTTTCGAACTGGACAAGGATCTCTATTTAGGTATTGTTTACATAAGTCCAAACACTTCACATCAAGTAATCGACTAAGAACTTTTAGACGATATTGAAAGTGAAATTGTAAATTTTACACTCAGAGGTGACGTGCAGATTTTACAACGTGACTTTAAGGCGCGCACCGACAGCATGCAAGAATTCGCGGTCCATGACGACGATAATCAATTTCTTTAAATTCCAGGAGACTATGAAATAGATACAGAAAATTATCGCTATTGCTGGTTTTCAGTGTCACGCCATCCAAAATAGATCAAAATAAAAATCAAAACCATTCCAGAGATAAATTCCAGAATCTGGGAAATGAAAGGAGGTAAATATACAGAGACCCTCGCCAAGATTTTGGTCGAAGGATTAATTCTTATACGAGATATCCGAGGAAATGTTTTACCCAAATTTATAGAGCTTTGAAAAGAGACGCCATGCTGGAGCTCATCCGGATGAGCTCTGAACTATTCACACAAAACTTAATTGACGTGTGCGAACAAGCAGGCTTGAGATTCAATAACATCACGAGGAAGCATATTGAAAAACCATGGTTCGAGGTGCCATGCAACGATATATACGCACGCTAAGAATGAACAAATTCTCAATTCACGGGCGAGTCGGTGTTGAGACTTTAAGGACCGCTCCCTAAAAATTTCAACAGCGCAAAGGAGAACTGAAAAAGAACTTTGCTGAAAACTTTTTCCCAACAGCGCGCGCCCTCATTGGTTACTTCAAGGTCACATGATATCCAACAATGAAACTGTTTCCCGCCAAAATCTCTGAGCGGGCAAAATTGAAAAATCTATGACGTCAGAGGGTAAAAATGTACTGTTTCCGGCGAATTTTGACCGACGACCGCTGTTAGTTCAATGAATTTCCAGCTTCAAACAGTTAGTTTGTTTCCCTCGGGACCAGTCATTAAGTTTTCATTACAATGCTGCAAATAACTTTCGTAGTCATAGTTGTCTTCACACTGGCTTTATTTTTATTTTCAACCCTGTCGTTGTTAACACAATGAATGGTATTGGACTGACTTGAAAAACTTAAAAAATAAAATAAAATAAAAATTTTCTTTAAAAACTTGAGAAGACTCTCGTCCTCAGTTGGGTCGCGACAGAAAAGACGCAACTGAAGTTTTCTGCTAAGCAGGGGCATGACCAAGATTTTTCCAAAGGTACCACAATTTTCCAAATCCCGTCAACTCACTCATTCCCCCCCACACACACACAGAACAACAACAACAACGTTTTCATACTTCATACATCCAGCGACCGAAGCACTTTTCCCCAAATTTTCTCTAAAAATCATTCACGCGTTTCTTCTCTGGAAACCGACCTTCGGGTGTAAAGAAGAGAAGTCCGTTGTTTAGAAAAAGAAAAAAACAAAGACGAACAAGCAGAGTCAGGGGCCGATTGAATGAATTGCGGAATATTGTGCTTTTAATTTTTCTTGTCGTCTGGAGGATACTAGTTTTTTTGATAGGGATCGACATCTTGATTAATGTAATTCACTTCACGAAAATAAAAAGTCAATGATATTTATCCTGTGAATTTTACAAACCCAAGCCCAGGCTGCCAAGGAAGGGAAAAGTAATTGTTACTTCCTAAGTTGCTATTATGGCTATACTATTTTGGAGATAGTTAATAAAAGCAGAATATTTAACTTGACTGTTACTCTACAAATTTCCGTTAAGCACACTGAAAGATCCTCAGATGGCGATGCTGTTAGGCACTCGTTCGGGATGCAAGTAAAAGTAGCGGTATTGTTCTTCAAGGGCCGCGTTGCGTTTTTCAATCTCCTTGGAGATTCGCTTAAGCTTCATCTGAAATTCAAAAATGGCATCCTCGGCCGCATCGTCAGTAAACAGCCTCTCAGGATATTCACCAATTAATTTCTGTGAAGACAAATGACATTCTCGTAAGTCATCATGAATTTTACTCAGGGGGCTGGTCGTTTATTATCTTTGAAGGGAGGGTGCGTCTCCAAATAGGTTACCTTGCTAACTGACCAAGGTACAGTTAAAACTTTAATTGTTTTCATAAGCTAGCTTTTGTTTAACAACATACAAGACATATGGAATCAATTTCTTAGGACGCTTACAGTGGGATGAAATCAGCTAAAAACTAGTTCTCAAACCCGTGCTTTACTCTCTGTATTTTAACACATCATGTGTTTTGAGCTGACTACCTGACGATTTTCAAAAAAAAACCACGTGTGATCGGACGCTTGCTCCAAGGAATATATCGAAGATAGTTTGGAGGATCTCGTCAATTTTCTTTTTTTAAACTTTAAGGAGGACTCACGCAGTGTTTTAGCAGTAATACGTAGCAGCATTTGCCTATAAATGCTCGTTTTAATTTTAATTACAATGAAAAAAGCCCACCTCGTCTGGAAAAATTCGAGTCAAATCGTACACTGCTGAAATAGCTTTCTCTGCTTGATGCTGGGTAGGCAGGCATTTCATAAGTTCCGACTCCGTTGAAAATTGGTTCTTCCTTGTGGGTGGTGGCTGGCGCATAAGAGCGGGAGCATTTGGCGGGAAGCCATATGCATCCAACTGTGAAAAATTTACCGCGGCGTGCTGACAAGAACAGGTGAAGATAATGGCTGTGAGAAAGTCGCACACCTGCTGGCGGTTCGTAAAGGAATGTGGAACACCATGGTCTGCGTGTCCGGGAGTGACCGCATATCCATTGTCGTGTAAATCTTTGATCCAGAGCTGCAGTTCATCGTCCTAATATAAAGTAAATATATTTTATTTGATGACGATGTATAATTGCTGCAGGCAGCGTGCAATGATCACTTCTTGAAGGATTGAAGCATCTCTTTTTTTGAAAAATTAGTTTGGTTCCATCGATCGGACAAACACACACACTGAGTGCAGTCCCCTTAAAGTCAGTAGGCAGACTCATTTCTTATATGAAATTCAACACATTTAGCGACTTGCTAGCATAAAGATTCGAAATTTAACCAATCAACCAGAAGTTCTCTTATAAAATCAATAAAGTGAGGCTTTGTTCTAGTCTGAAACGTCATACTTCTCCACCCAAACTGGATGTTTTCCCTAGCGCGTTCAGCCAATAATAGCTGTGGTCACACTACAGACGTTTACCTAGGTAACACTGATTTACCTAGAGCAAATTCATCTAAAAACTCCCGAGGTAAATTCATCTCGGGTTTTGTTTTACCTAGATAAAAAATTCTGGGAAGGTCACACTATTGATATCGGCTCCCAAGTTTTTCACACTCAGTTGAATTTTATGGAGCATAAATTCAAAAAGGCAAGATGCACAGGGATCTAGCTGATCAAAGAGACCTTTTCTTTTTTTAATTTCATCTCGCTGTTATTTCTTGCGCTAATTCAACGTGCAAGGTGAAGACAGGCGAAGACCTAGACTACTCTTGCCCCCAAAACTTCTTTCACAGCGTGAGCTATGTCCGGTTCTGTCATCAAGACCTTCGCCGATGAGCGGCTATTGGCTAGCAAACTCGGTATTTCATTTTTCGCTAGCTATCGCTTTAGGGTACAAACATTAACTACAAAGGACTGCAAAGTACGGTTAAAACTTTGGGGTAGCTGTCAAGGGAAAGTCTATTGTTCTCGAGACATATCCAAGCCCCAGACGATAAAATTTCCCCGAGGTAAGTTACCTAGGAAAAATCGGTCACACTTCAAAAAATCAAGTTTCCCGAGGTAAACTGTCAACAAGTCGAGTTTACCGATAGGTAAAAAGTCTGTAGTGTGACCACAGCTAATAAAAGGTTTTCTATTTCGGAAAGGTAAAAGCCAATCGAGAAGTACCTACCATGTTCGCAAAAGTAAGTGACGTCACCGAACGGCATTTTAACGCTCGGAATTAAGACGTCTCTCTCCCCCGCTCCCCCACGTGTTTTGGGTGGAGACGTATGACATTTCAGACTAGATGACTGTGCTCTTTCAAGGGAAAGAACTTTACATCAAAGTTTTGCTGGATTTTCGTTCTCACTCACCATGAAAGTGGCAGCAACTGTCATTTTTTTCCATTCTTCAGTTGGGTAAGTAGTTGTTTTAGTATGAATAAGGTATTGAAATAACTGGCACAACATCAAAATAATGTAGTTTTAGTTTCGGAATCAAAGTTCAAACTTCAGTCAAAACCTCGAGCGACCGATAAAAACGCGGAAAAATTTAGGCGATCGACAAAGGAAAAAATTGCAACGCGTTTCGTCACAAACTATCCTAGGGCGAGGATTGATAGCTTTTAAGTCAGCGATTTCTTCCGTTTTATATAAATTATTATTCATTCAAAACATTTCACATTTCCTGACTGGGTCAAATTACCCAGCTTATTATTTATAACAAACTGGCGTTGGCCAAATTTGAAAGTTGCGAGCAATATACCAGCGATTGAATGGTATTTTGACTTGAAACCGAGGTTGGTCGATGGTATATATTGATTTGGAAACGTCAAGTCGCATGGGCAATTGACCATCGTATCGATTAACCTCGTTTCCAGGCGCGGTGGTCCAATTGGTTATTCATGAGTGAACTGAAAATAAAATGGCATTCATGCACGGCTATCCGAGGTCATGTGTAATGTGGAAGAGAAGTCACAAATGGTGCCCAACCCTGACCCCAAACAATACTCAAACAATTGAAAGAATGACATGTCATTGTTTTCTGCGACCAATCAGGAGAGACCTTACGAGCAGCTCCTACACAACTGGGGTATCCGAAGACGAAATAGCTGAGAATTTTTTTCTTACTAAAACTGAACGGAACGAGAGCAAGAATACGCAAAACAAATTGCTCAATAAATGTTATCTACTTTTTAAGGTGTATCTACAAGAAAAAACCTGTGGGTATATCCTGACACTGTGCCGGAAAATAGGCCATAGTTGAGAACAAAGTCTACGAGGAGGAATAAGCTTGAGGGGACTTTAAGATATTTTGAATTAATAATAAAATACAAACATTAACCACAAGGGACTGACCTCCTTTATATCGACATCGGAACGATAGTAAATGGCTAGAATCTGTTTGACGAATTCCTCGATGGCTGTCCATAATTTTAGAGAATCATCGCGATAATAAAAGTTAGGCAGTTTATCTACCACGTCAATTCCTCTTTTCTTTAAAGCCTGGGGAAGATTATAGGTCTCCCAGCTGATGTTCTTGTAGTACTTTTGCATTAGCAAGATGTGCCCCTGGTCTGTTCAAGAATAAAGATCGTATTAACATAACCACATTAGTAGTTAAATTTTCCATTTAAAGGATCTTCTGACTAGGTTTTCCAGTCCTCTACATGTAGGATTTTTAATGGCATCAAGTCTTTTTTTGCCTTTCCTGCTGTAAGAAATTTCCTCCATCTAGCCTTTCCTGCTTACATACATAACTGGGCGCGCCCTTTGATAAGTCCCCAAGAACGTCCAATGAGACCCAAAACACATCATGTAAAAACTATGGCTGAGTTTATAGTAATATAATATTTTGTACTCTTTTCGTGCGGGTTCAATTTAGACATTTTTACTTGGTCTTGATTCAGTTTTCTAGATCAGTAAGAGCTTGCAGCAGTCCGTCGAAAAATATCGCTTTCATTCAGATCTACCTTACCCCCGGTTCAAACGCCGAACTTTTCACGAGCCGAACCTAATTCGAATTAAGGCCGACCCAAATTATTTAGACCGGCTGAATAGATTCAGACGCCGATCTTAATTCCAGCCTGAACTAAATTCAAAGGGACAAAAATGCTCATTTCGGTCAAACTACTTGCAAAATACGTTATAATAATTTATGCATTAGGTTCGGTACATGAAAAGTTCGGCGTCTGAATCAAAGCCGTTCTAAAGTCGCTCCAAAAGCGAAAATTCCCGGCCGGGCCAGGCGAAAAGAACTGCTGAACCGTTAAATTGAAACAGGCGTTCCTAACTGATTCAGACGCCGAACTTTTCACGTACTTAATTCAATGTATTAGGTTCAGCTAATGAAAAATTCGGCGTCTGAACCGGGCCTTAGAGTTATTATTAATTTAGATTAAGATTACGAAATTATCCATGCCATGTACCTTTACCGCCAATAGAAAGAGTTTCATCAGCCACCCCTCCCTCAGCAATCAGGACACTTCGTCCAAGGGTGTTGATAGCTAGAACCCCTCTGATGTGAGGAGACAACAATTTCCACAAGGGGTGGATCGTGGGCAGTTGTCTGAGGCTAGCGATGGAAACTGGCTCCATGAAGAGGTGTGTTCGTAGAAGATGCGTTATCATCTAAAGCAAAACGAAAGGAACATTTGTTACCAATTCAATACTTCAAATGGTTCCGAAGTTCCCGTTTTTTAAAAAGGTGGTCATTTGTAAGAATGAAAGTAACGTAAACTGCAGTTTTAGTAACATTGAGACAAAGCCAACTAGAGCAAAATAACTCGAGATCCTCATACCACTTAAAGTTGTTTCGATAAAGTTTCTCGGAGACCATACCGATGTTTTTCAATCGCCTTAAAAGTGATTTTATCCTCGTCCGATCACCACAAAATTTTCACCAGTGATTGTCTATGAATTGAAGTTTGTCAAAATGCAGTTTGTTGTAAAATCGATGTCACTATGACAACAATAAACAAAAAAAAACTTTAAAATCGATTAAGTCCGAATTTCGCACGATCTAGACCTACTACTGACAATCCCGCACCAGGAACTTAAAGCGTGGTGTTTAGCAAATAACCTCTGTAAGAAGGAAAAAATTCTGTATGCTTGAATTCAAATAAAACTTAAACATATTTCAGACCTTATATTTTCAATAGCCGTGATAAATTGTTTAATAAAAAAGTTCTAAATACATGAAATTAATATTTGATGCATGAAAATTTTGGTGGATTTCGTTTCTTGCGATCCTGAAAACTTACCTGTTTTCTCACCTCCTGTCTAAGTACAACTTTATTCCTGAATTTTGACTTTTAGTGCTTTTCTGTATATCTCTAAAACTGCTCGACAGAATTCTTTTTAAACCTCATCACACAATAACCATGACTGTATATAATTATGTCTGAAACTTTCATTAAGACTGATTCACTGCAACACCTTGAAATTTTAAGACGAATATAGCACACGAACCGACCAAAAATCCACGTTAAAACATTCACTGTTTTGACGTTATGCTAATTTTCCAAATTAATGTTCACCATACATACCTCAAAGGCTGGTACATTTTAGTATGACTTTAATTGCTTAATTTGAATGTAAAACATTGTCAAGAATGCTTGTCATTGAAATGTATACTAGCCGAGGTATGTATATGGTGGGCTAGATCGCGCGAAATTCGGATTTAATCGATTTTAAAGTTTTTGTTTATTGCTGTCATACTGATACCGATTTTACTAAAAACTGCATTTTGACAAACATCAATTCATAGTCAATCACTGGTGAAAATTTTCTGGCGATCGGACAAGAATAACATCGGTATGGTCTGCGAAAAACTGTTAGTATCGAAACACCTTAAAAACCGATTTATTATAATTTTCAACCTTCACTTTTAAATAGGAGTGGACCAGTCAGTTTTATTCCAGCAATTTCACCTTTTACCTTTACCTTTTTCTTGCGTACGTGTTTTTCGGCCCGGGGGGCCCCCGGAGGTTTTCGCTCGAAAGGGGTTGACAAACGCAGTTAGTATTCCGCTAAAGACGATCAAGTAAAAGGCTGCGAACAGGCTCACTGATGCTACTTCGGGGAAAACACAAGTGAGCTTCCTCGCAGGTTAATCATGTGATTAACCAAACCAAAAATGGTGGAACCCTACCTGATGGAACTGAGCATCCGAGTTACGCAACCACATTTTGGCACAAAGCCAGTCATACATCTGGTCCTTGGGAGTCCATATCGGGTTGTCAGCGTCTGGCTGCTGATGGAGCTGAATGGCTATTGGTATCAGGTCCTTGCTGTCGTTCACATAAAATAAACCCAAACTCGCGCACGCGTATCTACGTTCCTTACACTTCTCATCCTTGTGGCCATAGCTGGGAATGTCCTCCAAGATTTTGTAATTCACTATGTAGATCCGGCCTTCCTAGAAAACATAGACACATTTGCAATAATCATTGCTGCATCATGATGAATGCGAGGGTCTCAATGGGGTGCTGGCTTTGACGATTGACCTTTTTTTTCCAGTTTTAACAGTTGACGGTTAAATTTTAGAGCTTTTGACCGTTGACTGTTATTAAGTGGAAATTTAGTGCAAGAATTTAAGAAAATATTTACTTTCATACCATGCATGAGACCTGAGACTACTAGTATTCATTAAAACATTCGACACTTCGCACTGGAAGTTTGGACTCAGCTTGGCTAAATTCAGAAGTGGCTTAGCGGACCTGTGCTTTAGGAAATTATATTAAAAATACATGTTTTCGAAAGTTTTTGCAGAAAGCCGATTATTTAATACCCTGCATAACTGCATAACAGCAGAATGGCCTAACTGAACAGTCCCCTCTAATGGTGCATTCTCTCTATACTTGTAACGTTCAGTTTATGTTGTTGTCATTTTTATAATTTGTTGTGGAAGGGAAGCGCGTGCTTCGATCGACCTGAACATTGAGTGAGTGTAGTTTGTCTTGTAAGATTGTTTTGTAATAACTGCAGAATTACAAGTAACTTTTTCTCCGAGGTTTGAACGATAAACAAGCAACGCCTGATAGTTTTGCTTACCTCGGAGGTGATGTAAAAAGGCTGGTTTACACGCCCCTAGCACCAGATTTCTATAAAAGTAAAATCACCCAGCCCCACCCTTTCCTGATTGTGCTTGGCAACTTTTTAACAACGTTTTGGCGTTTGGAGCAACTTTTTGTGGTTCTAGCAACCTCGAGCAAATTTTGCCTTTCTGAGCAACTTTTGAGCAAATATAGGTTTAGAGCACATATATATCAAGCACGAAAAAGTCAACCATTGCATAGAAAACTTCAATCTTTTATTTTTTAATTTTTTTTCCTTGACCGATGTTAGTAATTATTGTAAAGAACAAAATATAAAGCTTTTAATCACCGTTTGTAGAAAAATATCGAGAAATTTAGGTGGCAACTTTTGAAAAGTAGGTAGCAACGTTTTGGATTTTTGGCAATTTTTTAGCAACTTCTTGGCATCCCAGTGAGCAACTTTCCAGCATTTTACGAGCACAATCGGGAAAGGCCTAGGCCGCCCCCACCTCTAAAACTCAAATGTATCGTTCCTATTATAAAGTTAACTTATTTGAGTAGTATAGGACGCACCGGTTACTCCGGTTTTTTGAGCAGGAACCTCATTAGCGTGAGCAGGAATACATTAACGCCGATGACGTCATAGGCTATTGTCCTCATCTCATGAATAAAATGCGGTGGATTCTCATTAATTTGCGGTAGAATAAATTAACGTCGCTGACGTCATAGGTTATTGTATTGATCTCATGAATAAAATGCGGTGGATTCTCATCAATTTGCGGTAGAATAAATTAACCCCAATGACAATAGAAATGTGGTGATGGTGGTGGTGGAGGGAAAACAATAGAATTGTGGCGGTGGTGGTGGTGGTGGTGGAGGGAAAACAATAGAGATGTGGTGGCGGTGGCGGTGGTGGTGGTGGAGGGAAAACAATAGAAATGTGGTGGCGGTGGTGGTGGTGGTGGTGGTAGAGGGAAAACAATAGAAATGTGGCGGTGGTGGTGGTGGTGCTGGAGGGAAATAAAAAATAAAAAGGAGAGGGGTAAGTAAAGCATTGCTTGCAGTGCAAAAAAGAGCTAGTTTGCCTTTGCCCTCTTTAATATACACGATTTGCCCGCCAAAAATCAGTGAACCGGAACAAGGACAATCACAGTAGCAGGAAATAGGAAGTGCATAATTACGTTACGTCTCAGTGATTTTAAGTCACAGACAAGTTTAACTTTACTCCTCAGACAGTATGAATTAACCAATAAAAACGTTTCTTATTTTCTAACTAACCAATCGAAAACGAAGACGTTTATCGACCTTAAAGTAACTAAAAATCCTAAACCAACTAAAAATACCACATGACCTTATCTTTATGAGATACCACAGCATTTTATTCATGAGATCAAGACAATAGCCTATGACGTCATTGGGGTTAATTTATTCTACCGCAAATTGATGAGAATCCACCGCATTTTATTCATGAGATCAATACAATAACCTATGACGTCAGCGACGTTAATTTATTCTACCGCAAATTAATGAGAATCCACCGCATTTTATTCATGAGATGAGGACAATAGCCTATGACGTCATCGGCGTTAATAGATTCCTGCTCAAAAAACCGGAGTAACCGGTGCGCCCTATACTACTTATTTGTTGTTTAGACAAGTTTATTTTTTGAAATTATAAATCAAATAACCCGCAGCGACGCTTTCAGCTCTGGCAAAATCTGTACATTAAAGAAAGACAGTTGGCTCGGTTATGTGATTACGATCGAGCGACCGATCTCCATTCTTTCTTCTTGAGTGAGGAGGAGAAAAAAGAAGCACTGCCTGGATCACATCAAACCCTTGAGGTCAACGCCGCAGCCCATGCTAAACCACTGGACTAGTCAATTTTGTTTTCTTCTCCTTCAGCTAGTTTTTCGATTGAGAACATCAGTTTATTGATAAACTTATGGTCACAACTGAGCCAGCTGTAGCAAGCACACGGCTATTAGGCCTGGTTTCGAAGCTTTATCCTTACTAGCAACATGCCGCGTATGCTCAACAAAGATCTTACTCGATTCTTACAGAGTCTTTCTCGAGTACGCCAAAATGGAGAATGCAGAGAAAGGCTTTGCTGGCAGGGTGCGATTTTCCTTTTTTAAAATGAGTCGAAAAAATCTGCACGATAGTTTAAGCCTCGTCTTTCTCGTTGTATAAACAAACAAAATCTGAATCACGAAAGAAGAATTACAGATGTTCATCGACGCCTCATAAAGTTGACTCTCTTCTTTAATTCCTTGCGCTTCGCGAATGAAATTGGCAAGACTTCTATTGTAATCAGTTTTTCCTAGCCTGAATAACAAGCGCTTTATGAGCCAAGCGAGGCGAACGCGGCATTTCGTGCGAAGCGCGAAACGATTTCGAGCTTCGCGCAAAATGTCGCGTCCGCCTCGCTTGGCTCATAAAGCGCTTGTTATGCAGGCTAGGAAAAACTGATTACAATAGAAGTCTTGCCAATTTCATTCGCGAAGCGCAAGGAAAGAAGAGAGTCAGCCTGTTATGCAGGCTAGTTTTCCAGTCTGAAACCAATCTGGCAAAGTTCTTTTTGTTGCTTTCTAACTGCTAACCGTAACATTTGAGTAAACAGGCTTTAACAAGGAATGAGCATGCCAACGACAAACCAAAAAATAATATTCTCTTTAAGGAAAAAAAACAGGAAAAGTTACCTCCATAGCTTCCCTCAAAGTATCTCCTTCGTCCAACAGATCTCCGACTAACTCCTCCGTGACAGGGAAGTTTTCTGGCAGTTCGGTGCATCTTTTGATCGATTCTGGGTTACATCCGTTAAGGAATTGGAAACCATAGAAGCGGTCCTCCTGCCAATATTTTGCTGCCTTAGGCACGCGTCCAATGGCATATAACTGTATAAAATAATAAAATATCAACTACTTAACTTTTCATTTTTCTCGTTTCTATACTATATCGCTCCAGTGAGATCCAAATTCAGTACAGGGAAAGAAGTAAAACCTTTAAGCCAGTAAAGGCCAGTTTGGAATTTTTTTGCAATTTATTTCTTTTGTTTTACTCCTGTCAATATCGGAGCCAAGTATGAATTTGGATAATTGGAAACTGACTTATTACGTGGCTAGTCTCAGGTCAGTAAGTCAAACGCAGGCTTGGGAAAAAGGCCTTGGAACGAGGGTTGTTGTGTTGCCGGTAAAAAAAACATTATTTTTTAAATGTCATTAAACTATTGCATAGTTTTTGTTGACGTTATGGGGTCCATTTTGTCTCCAGTTGGTATGATTTGTATACAAAGTAGGTTCGATGAGGGCTAACATATCACTTTCATGCCAGATAAGTGCAACAATACCTTTTCGAAGTCATCAAAGTGTTTCCAGTGTAGACCGAGGATGCCGTACACGAAATTCATGAGCCACAATAGGATCTTATTGATAAAAAGATATGCTCCTGCGCCAAACAAGCTATAAACAGCTTCATCAGTGAACTGTACGTCTTTTGGCAGTTGTTTAACATCAAGAGCCTTTAAGAAACCAGGCAAATCGGAGTATGCATGATTCCGTCCCCACTTGAACAGCGACTGCCTTTGAGATATCTCTACTTCTCTCTCTGTCTTAACTTTTTCATGCTGTTCATCGTTAGGCAATTTTGCTGTTAAGGAATAGTTGAATACCAATCAATATAAAGAAAATTAATGTGGGCAAATATTTGTGAGTGTTGGTTGAAAGTGGTGAACTTAATTGCAAGGGAACAATCAGGATTAAATAGAAAAATTAGGCTTGTTTTTTAGTTCTCGGAGTCTGTTTTCCACTGGGTAACACCCTTCCGGATAGTTGCTTAATTCTTCATATCATACACAACCTCATTCAATAATTGCTGAATATGATTATGAATATAAATATGAATATATTGAAAACATAAACTCTGATAACGAGACTGAAGTGGTTGAGAAAAAAACCATCCTCGGTGTTAATTACTAATTTATTGTTCAAAACCCATGGCTTACCTTTTCCCTCGAAGATAGTAACGCTTTCATTCTGCACCCATCGGTTGCATGGGAAGTCATAGAGGATACCAGGGTTTTTCCCTAACTTTTTGATCGTCAATCGGTCTACGAACCAGTCGGGGTCAAAACTACCCCCGTCTTTTTTCAACGTCACCAATAAAGGCTCGCCGACGTCTCTAGCTGTCACGCGGAAGTAATGTATTTGCCCAGGTGCAAACACATCAAATTGAAACCAACGAAATAGACGAAGGAAGAGAGCCCGGAGAACCCAATTCGAATTTCCTATACTGCGAACCCTCTTTTTGATACCTTGTTTGACCTTGACTAGAAACCAAAATATAACAGGATAATTGATGTTTAACAAGTTAAGAGTTTTTTTTAAATATACTCCGCTGACTGGTTGCGAAAGCGTGCTTTATGAGAGTATATAAACTGACATGCTGACGACACTCTCGCTCGCTTTGAAAGCGTGGATTTTAACAACAGAACAGAGCACAGTCAAGGCTTCTTTCTTTGTTAACTACAATCTAAAAACGTCACCATTCTATAACCTCGTGGGGAGCATATACCGGTTATATCTGATACGGCTACTGTGACAGGTGACTGTGACAGTCTCATAATGTTACCAAGTTACTAAAAACCTCGAGCAGGGTAGCAAATACCTGATCGGCATGATGCTTACAATGTAATAATATCAGTCATATCACGATTCTAACTCTACAAGGACCTCGTTATTAGGTTACCCGGTTGCCAAACAAGTGAAATTTGCCTTCTTATTATCGTATTCCGAGCGGTTAAATTTTGACTGCTCAATCATGTGACCCTCCATATGATTTTGATGCTAAAGATAAAATTAAGCACGCTCACGACACGCTTCCACTTTACAACAAAAAAATTCATTTTCAAACGCTTTTTTTAAAACGCTAGCCATTTTGCCTCATTAGCAATTTCTTTTGTTTCAGAGGACACGCTTGTTAAAACGTTGAACAAAACAGCGTGTTAAAGTTTTAAACAACAGCTACGTGCGAAATAGCGCAACACGAGTGTGCAAAAAAAAAAAAGGCGTGTTATCTTAGTGCATTCGATTTGATCAGGATTTAGATTTTAAAATACGGATTTCGGATTTGCAATGGAACGCGAAATCCGAAAACGGGCTTCAACGCTGAGATATCTGTTGCTGGATTTCATTTTTACCGACCGATTGGAAAATCCGAAAAAGGATTTGGAAAACTGTCCTTAACTGTCCTTAACAACTGTCCTTGCAAGCGCAAGCATAATTAGCAAAAAAGGAACAACGCTTAATTGACGAGAATAGTTTTGCAAATCCTTTTTCGGATTTCCCAATCGAACGGTAAAAAGGAAATCCATGAAATATGGATTTGGATTTCTGAATTGTAATTCACCCTGTGGACGGATTTCTTGGAGGTGAAATCCATTTTCGAATTTCGCCGGTTCGATTACAAAATCAGAAATCCGGAAAATTTTTTTAATCAAACGCAACCTTAAGCTACGGTGCTGCTCAAAAGCACCCTGAAACAGACGAAACAATCGAGTCTCGGCTCTTGATTTACGAAAAAGTAACCTAGATGAAGCTGAAGAGCGAATTTATTACTGCGCTTTTCACAAACATGCGAACTCTAAAGTTCAAAAGCCGCCTTCACAATTGCGTTTTTCGCTGCCGTCAATCATAATTACGATCACAAGCAACGAGCCTTGAAACACAGAAACACCCAAAACAGATCGAAATCCACCAATGGCAAATCCCATACATGACCTTTTGAACCCGTTGAAGTAAAGTTTTGTTTTCTAAGGGGTCCGCTAAGATGATTGACGGCAGCGAAAAAACGTAACCGTCAGTTGGCTTTTGAATTTCATAATTCGCATGTTTTTGAAAAGCGCAGTAAATCATTCTCCCAGTGTACCGTTCAAGGCAAAACATAAAACGCTGACTTCAAAATTGTGTTTCAAAACATACCAGTAAATTTGCATAGATTACGTAATTTGAAACACGCATTGCAACCCTACCATTAATAGGCCATTTGCGAGTTCCCCTGGGCCTCTGTGTCAAAACGAGGGTAGGTGCTCAGCCTTTGATATGGAAATCATTTTTTATTCTCATGCAAATAAAACTAATTTTCACAAGAAAGGTTGTGCACCTAGCCTCATTTTGAAAGTGAGGGTTTTTGGAACTCGGAAGTGGCCTATTATAAATATAAACAGCGACGTCTTTCTAACCAAAACACGCAGAAAAAAAGCATGATAACCGTAGGTTTCTCCGAGACTATTTCATCATTTTCCGACCAGATATTTAAACTTTACTGCATCTGAAATCACTAAAGTCAAGCAGCGAACAACAAGACAAGTGGATGTTTGTTCACTTTTTACCAGCGACCAAAAATTTTTTTTTTCATTTGAAACGTGCGAGCCAAGCGGGAAATTGATTTCGTCAAGGACTGAATCGCTTCTTGCAATTCCGCGCTAAATGCTTTATCGGTTAACCGAGTTATTCTGGCTTACGGAACAGCGATCAATAAATTGCGGTGGCTTAACGGTATACACGAAGCATAATGTGACAGTGTTTACATTCTTGTTCACCAAGTGATGATTTACAGTCAGTTACGATCAAATTCCATGAAACAAATTTAATATCTGCCCTTTTTCAGATTTTTGATAGGAACAAACAATAAAACTGTTCAGTTTAAGTATTTTTAAAGTATTTTCGACTACTGTAGGTATCAGTTGCGATTCATTTCGCTGAACTCAAGCCATTTCATTTTTGTAACCCTTTGCTGTTGTAAGTAATCTAGGGTGTTTAGGGTGTCAATACTCAAAATGGATACTAGGTGTGCCATAAAACGCATGCTTACTGGGACATTAGCATACTCAAGAAAAAAAAAAGGTTTGGCTTGCTAGGTTTAACAAAAAAAAAAAAAGAGTGTGTCCTTCTTTGTTGTAGTAATAATAATAATAATAATAATAATAATAATTTATTTGAGTGTCAATGTATTTAGCATGAAAGGCTAATTGGGGACACTATTTTTTAAGACGGGACCGCCATTTTAGGTGGTCATCCGAGCCACGCGAAAGTCTAGCCGCTTGCAGTGCAAAGGGAGTACCTTCTTTTCTCAATTATTTCAAGACCCCACGACCTCCCGCTTTGCAGTCACACCTTCTACCGACTGAGCTAACACTGTGGCGGTCAAGCAATTTAATATGTGCGTATCCGTGATGTAAGACAAGCTAAAACACGCTAAACGTGTCGTGAGCGTGCTTTCATCCATCAAAATCCTAGTGGGTCAGACGATTCGTTCACGCTTGAATTCCACTTCATAATTCTAGTAACCAGAATAACGGGGGGGTCTAGTCATGAACAGGATTACTACTCGTAAAAGGTATTCAGGAGCTTCTCAGACTAATTTTTTGAGAGGTAAGGGAGCGGGGAGAAATCCATCTAACTGTTGCATTATGTTTCTAAACTCCTCAATAACTATGAAAACAGATTTTACCGGCCTTGTCGCTTGTGCAACTGTATTTGAACCCAGTAAAAAATTTTTTTAGTATATTTATTTAGTGAATTTACCGAGTTTTAAATTCTCCCATTTTTACGTGGATGCAAGGAAAATAAGAAAATTTTTCAACTTGTACTCACCCAGTCTAGCGACTGCTATCTCAGCCGGCCTCAGTTCATGCGCATCTCCTTTGTCTCTTGCTTGTTCTCCTGTTTTTAAGTAAGTGCAATGAGAATTTGTTTAATTTGATTAATTTAATAATAATAATAATAATAATAACAATTTATTGTTTGTAAGGCGCAAAATAGTATATAAATATGATCTAATGTTCTCTAACAAAACAATTAAGTAAAAGTATGAAATTATACGTAAAATTTCCTAAAATAAACTAAAAATTTGCCATAAATCTCTCTATGTATACAATTAAAAAAGGCAATTATAAGATTTGATTAATAATAAAAGGTATTGTAAGTTCATTAGTAATTGAAATTATCTTAAAACGTTAATTGATAAGTCATAATTATAATAAACGTAAATCTATAAATCATAGACTTCTTTAAAAAGTAAAGATTTTAGTTTTATTTTTAAAGGCTTCAAGCTTGTTTGTACTTTACTTGTACTCACCCTCAACTTCAAAGCAACCCAATTTCAGTGGATCTGTATCACCTTCTGTGCCTTTTGGTTATAAACGAAAAGTATGGGTTCATTGGCAACTTGGTATAGTACTGTAAATTAATAAGACTTCTAGGGTATAATCTCTATTGTTGTGTTCACGTGTTATTGTTCAGGTATTATGTTCACTGTATAATGATTCTCCTGAATATGTATTTAAGTACATGATTCATGCAAAAAAAAATGATATTTAAGCTTTTTAATCAGTTATCGCTCAAAATCATGGTAGAAATAGCCCTGAAGTCCCCCCCCCCCCCCCCCCCCTTCCCCCGTCGTTAGCGTCGTCCACTTAGTCACTACAATCGCAGTAGTTGAGTGCGAATAATACTTACATGAATTACGTGAACATAACAACGGTATCAGCATTATTCACTGCTTTTAAAACGTTAGTTGAAAAAACTGTCGTTGAAAGGCTGTTTTCCAAAAGGATTGCAAAGGCATTTGCTGAATTATCATGGAAGGCGAGGTCTCGAGGGACAAACATTGTGCGCTCTAGTCAATCAGTGGTGGTGCTTGTGAAGCTGTGCAGGCCAATGCGCAAGTGCCAGTGCCTCCTACACACGGCGCAGATGAATTTGTGGAGTAGGGAAAAGTAGAGCTGTTTTTGCAACAAGCGTGCTTCTCTTCAACTTTCTGGTGACGTTTCACGTCTGCTTTGGTTTCTCGATTCTTTCTTTCACTGTTCGTCTCCAGCGGTTACGATAACTTCCGGCGTCTTCCCAGTTGTTTGGATTAATTTCGCACACTTTGAGGTCACATTTGCAAGCGTCCATGAACCACAGAGTGGGGCGTCCGACTTTCTTGACTCCTGTTGTCCGTCATTATTCCTTGGGGATGTGTCCATGACATCCATGCGACGAATTCCGAGCCATCTCAGGTGCTTCTGACTGAGTAGGGAGTGCATGATGGGGATACTAGTGACAGTATCTCAATGTTGGTGATGTTGTAGTGCCACTTGACGCCGAGGATATGCTTGAGCATCGCAGATGGAACTAAGTTCAAGCGGCGTTCCTGTCTCATGTAGGCGGGTCCGAGTTTCACTGCCGTAGAGCAACGCACTGAGAACGCATACCTGGTAGATGTTCATTTTGCTGTTCTCAGTCATGTGTTTGTTTTCCCAGGCTCAATTTGGACATGGTGCTGGTGGCTTTACCGATTATTCGGGAGATTTCTGCGTTAAAGCAATTCCCTTGTTTTGCTCTATGCATCACTTAGTGCGCATAACATTGCGACTGTAAAGGTCACCAAAAAAGAGGTAACTAAAGCCCTGTAGCCACAGTGCTTTAATAGAGATTTTGATGACTCGTACCGGCTAAAAGGGTGTTTGTCTTAAAACTCGCCCCAGTCGCCTCGCGCAAAACGACCATTTGAAGCCGAAATTGCCCTTTTGTTGTCGCTTTGCGATGAAACGGGGATACTGACCCCTCAGTTTTGTTTGTGGTTTTTACTCGTCATGGTTACACAAAAAGTTAACATGAAGAAGAAATTAAATCCGGATAGTAGAAGTCGTATTTTTTTTAGATATGAATGACGTGGAACTCTGCATTTAGAGTCACAGAGAAGTATGAGGTAATGTCAAAACTGTCCATTTCTCTACATTTTTTGAAGATCGGGTAATTTGATGCCACTTACTACCTGGAAAATATAGCCTAGAAAAACAAATGGGCTTTAGGTCTTAGTGAAATTAGTAATTTTCACTATATGATAAGAATTTTTGTTGGTTTTCAAGTTTCGAGCATTGGCGTGCAACTAGGAAAAAACACTCAGAATTACGGACACAGGGCAAAAACAGGCACGGCAAACCCACCTTTTTATTGCAGTTTTTGATTATTTTTTATATATGGCTTACAATTGTGCCAAATATGAAACAAATCTGGATAGCATAAAATTCCTTTAGTCAAAGGAATTACCTTTATGTGGCTCGCGTACATGGAGATGGTGGAATCGAGGTGGGTGAATTCGTCGGCTACATCGAGAGTGTGATCGCCGATTTTGATTGCAGAGGCTAGGCTGACACCCCGGGCAATCACATTGGATTTCTTGAGGTTGAATGCGAGAACAAAGGTTTAACATGTACTAGCAAATTTGTTGATAAGTCTCTGCATTGCTGTGTCTGAGTTTGTTTCCAAAGCAGCATTGTCAGTGAAGAGCATGTCACGTGCAGTTTTGATTTTCGTCTTGGCGCGAAGGCGAGCCACGTTGAAGAGTTTACCGTTGGTGCGGGTATGGAGGGCATGTCAGTGGTGGATCTCCCGAGCCGGAAACAGCGCTGGAACCCGGGGGTATACGCGGCGGTCAGCCAGTGCTTGTAGTCTGGGAGGTGAGGAGCACGCAGGCGAGTACCTACAATACTCAGGAGATAAATTCCTCGATAGCTGTTACAGTCTGAGAGGTCGCCTTTGTTCTTACAGAGCCTGATTGTGGCGTCATTCATGTCTTGTGGGACGGCGCCTTTCTTCCAGCAGGGTCGTAGAGAGGCTCAAGGAGGGCAGACTTGCGGACTTGATCACCTCGGGTGGGATACCATCGCTGCATTACCGTTTAAGAGAGCTTCTATAGCCTTGCCAAGTTCTTCAATGGTAGTATCAGCGTCAAGCTGACTGTGACAGGAGTGATCTAAGAGTTGAGAGTAGCAGCGATGAAATCTGTCTCACGCAGATAGAGTTCAGAGTAGTGTTTCACCAATCTGTCCATTTCTTTCTTGAGGTCTATAATGGGTTCGCGGTATTTTGTTTTAAGGGGTACAGTTTTCTTTTCTGAAGGACCTAAGTCTCTCTTGATGCCGTTATACATGATGTTGCCAAGGTCTGCGAGGTAGCTGTATTTCGTTGCAAAGTTTAGGCCAATAGTCGTGGCACAATGTCTAGCAGCGCTTTGAGTTGCACTGCGTGCATCGAGGAGCGCTGTCAGAGATTTCTCTTGTAGTTCAAGAGGGCTTGTCGTTTGGCCTCAATCAGGGGCTCCACAATCGGTAGGTTGGCGTTTAACCAGTCATGACTAGGCCTCTCAATTCTGTCAAAGGCCGACATGGCCGAAGAGTAAATGGCCTCCCTCATGCAGTTTCATCTGGCATCCTGTCCCTGGGGGTCCTTAAAGCGCGCTTTTAATTGGAACCTGGTAGAACTTAATTTTCAATGATCTTTTCTGGACTCGCTCCATGAAAGAGATAGAATGACTGTAGTGCCGCACAACAGTATTACCGTAGTATTCCAAAACAGAGCGGATAATCGAGCGTATAGCAATTTTTTTCGACGCTTTTTACTTTCTTTTAAGTAAGAAAAGCAGCTAAAAACTTGCATTTTACAGGGGCACCCAACGACGGTTTCCTCCTATATACATTGAAAACACTAAGCTTTTAGGCTATCCAGAGTACTTTTAGATCTCTAGAAATGCATTCTAAGCGATGTTATTAAATTTGTATCTGTTCGGTCATCCTAAGGCAACTTGAGTCTGTTCGAAATTATAAGGGGTCCAGTATTTCTTTTCCCGAACATTTTAGATGCAATTTAACGTTTCACGAAAGTGAGAATTTTTCTAATTCCTCTCTACATCGCATTTTTGAATCCGCAAATTTAGGTTTTCTTTTTACTACGAAAAATTGCCTAACCTGGGGAGTAAAATGTAAAAAATTAAACTTCAGAAAATCCTAGCGGATTTTTTGGAAAAGCTTCGAGAATCGTACATGAATGGAAAGGTCATCCAGAAAATTTTAGCTATCCTCAAGTAACAGAAAATTTTAGGCAATATTTGATTCTTCGAACAGATATTTTACAGAAAAAAGTCGTTGAGTGCCCCTGATTTTTAGTTTAGTTTTCTCTTCGAAAGGGGTCTTCGTTGTGAAGTGTGAGTAGAGTACGCATCAATTTTTAACATTTTGTGTGACACACAGCATTAACGTGGCCCGGCCGAGAGTCGCTGTCATGTCAAAGGTGCCTTAATTTGGGGGAATTGCTATCTGAACAGTCCTTAAGAAAAGTATAACTTTAATGCTTATAAGTTCCTCGAGGGATGAAATCACGCTCGTAGCAAAACTTGGTAACAGATATTTCCGTTGTTTTCCGGCCGCCATGTTGGTACCCCTCAGAGGGGCACAAACATAGCGTTCCCATACAAAGCTGAATAAATCTGGGAAGACCTTTCCCCATAACATCTCTCATATGAAAAATTGCATCGACTCGAATCTTTGCATGCATTTACTTTCTCAGATTTCCCAGATTCTGGACCTTGTCTATTCAGCTGTCTATTGAACGACTTTGATTTTTATTTTGGTAGGCGTGACAGTAAACACCAACAATAGAATTTCGGTACCTTTAATGACGACAGACGCCGATGCATCGGTCCCAGCTCCCTCTTTGTTTCCAGTGACAACAGTGATCAGGTATTCTGCCTTTCTCTCTTCTATAATGAAATAGATTAGAACTAGAAATATATCGAGTTTTTGCATCTGCGAATTTTAGGTAGAACTGACTTTCGAAATGATAGTTTAGAAAGTGAGTATTTATTGACAACATGAACAAATGACGGGGGGGAGGGGTATTTGAACCCATGTATAATAACAGCATGCATGTGAACACCATTTATTTTATTCTATTTTATTTTATTTCTGAATTTTCAAACGGAAAAAGTTTTATATAGACATTTGAGTCGAATGAGGAAAAGAAACTCAAACTTTTCAGCTAACGTTTACCATCAAACATTGATCACTATATGTACCTTAAACATTTTTGTGTAAACCCTAAAGATCAGAGACAACAGAAAACTAGACTTTGATGCCAAAAGTAATAATTGAATGACAAACAGTCATTATTGGATGAAAAACATACATAAGTAAATGTCAACAGGGGCGGATCCAGGATTCTTTTGAGGAGGGGGTGCACTCGTCTCTTGCTCTACTTCAACACCAATAAACCACATAGTTTTTTTTTTGCAGAATACCAGTTGTATTAGAAAACCGCAGGTCATCTCGGGGGGGGGGTGCACACCCCCTGCACCCTCCCCCTAGATCTGCCCCTGGTCAAGCAGACATAGCTTATCTGAATTAAAAACACTTTAAAACAGAGATGATACAGTATATCAGTGTGTGAACAGTAAATGGTTTGATATAAAAACTGCTCTATACAAACCTGCTTTGTTCTCATGACGTCCCAGGAAGAAATTGAGCAATCCCGCCATTATTCTGAAACGGAAAGAATGCCTTAGCTAAAGGTCGTTTGAGAACATCTCAACCAGTGTCATTTGCATTTTCAAGCCATTTGTTTTTTTGAAAATTTAATTACCTTAGCACCAAAACCTCCACTTTGCGCGACGCGGGAAAATTCTTGAGGTCAGGTGACTGGTTAGGGTTAGGGTTAGGGTGACTGGTTATTTAAAAGCAAGATATTTGTCAAAGTGAAACACCAATTGTAAGTTAATATTGGCCCGTCATCGCTTCAACCGAAATTGATTTGTTTAATAACCTTTTTTGTAAAGTTAATTTTCAGTTGATAACCACTACGACGACACATCGTCATGTGATAAATTTCAAGCGCGCGTGTGAAACCCTTTTAATGGTTAATCTTCAAGTTAAGCCCCTTCATTAACAGGAGCGAAACACAGTCGAGAGGTTTGCTTACTCTTTGTTCTCAGCTAGACTAGCAGAAGTCCCCATATTCTCTGAGGGATAGTAGAGCGAGCGAAACGCGAGGGCGCGTGAAAAATCACCCCACGCCAGAAAGGCGAGGCGCGGCGGGGAGAAAGGAAAATGAAGGACAACAGACACCTCTGGACAAAGCACAGGTAGCCCAAGCTCGAAATATGAGCATCGGCGAGCATCGGCATTGTTGCGTAACATTCAAATATAAGGATTTGTATGGGAAAAAAACCTATCGTTTCTGTAACCTACGAAGATGCAATGTTGCTCTCACCTAATTCATTTGACTCCCAAGAGCCTGTTCCCGTGGCCAAAGACTTATTTTTCTTATCACAGAACGAACCAAAAAAAAAAAGACATAAGCAAACAACTCAGAAAAGAAGCCGGCTATTAGACCGGGGGAGTTGAGAGAAATTACGAAATGTTTGCTAACCCGGTTCTCATAATTTCAGGTAGATATAAAATAAACAAATTTTAACATATTTACATATACAATGTATATATATATTTACGTTTACAACTTATCTAATTCGCAGGCTTGTTTAAATAGGCGAGTCTTCAGAGCTGTCTTAAAAAAAGCATTTACATTTGCAGACTGTCTGACAGAGCTTTGGACCTGCGATGGAAAAAGCCCGATCACCATACGATTTAGTGTTGGTCTTGCCAACCTCAAGATAATTCTGCTCAGCAGACCCTGATTATAAGTCCTGTAATAAAGCAATTCTGAGATGAAAGAAGGCGATTTACCATTAAATTATTAAATACGTCCTTTGTACACAAGTAATGAAATGGTAACAATAATTCTCTGATTTATCGGTAAGCAATGAAGACTGTAAAGAACCGGTGAAATGGGATCAAATTTCCGGGTTAAAGTAACAATTCTAGCAGCAGTATTTTGAAGTAATCTGTTCAATTTATAAGCGGGTAGTCCATATGAGTTGCAGTGCACGTGGTTCAATTTAGAGCTAACAAACGCGTGGATCAAAATCTCTGTAGAGCTCCTGTCAAGATAGATGATAATTTTAATTTTCCTATGTTTCTTAAAGAAAACTGAGCAGATTTACATATTTTTGATCAAGAGAAAAAAACTGTCAAAAACTACCCTAAGATTTCTGGCTCTTGAAACAGCCTTAATGCGTTGATCGACAACATTGATGCAATTCAATATAGGCTCATCACAGAACTTGGATTGAAAGACGAGTAGTTCCGATTTGTCTTGATTGCTTTAAGCCATTATATAATTACGAACCATCCAAGTATAAATGTTTTTAATACACAATTCAACCTTTGATTTAGCCATCTGTAACTCAACGCTCAAGTCGGTCTTAAACGAGATACATGTTTGAGAGCCATCCGCATACAGGTGGTACTGAATACATGGCACTTAATGATCTTTCCAATCGGAGAGGTTTAAACCAGATAACGTAAGGGCCCCAATACGGACCCTTGTGGCACACCTTGATCCACGCTTCTAAGAGAGGACTTACTACTCTCAACACAAATGTATTGCTTACGCAAAGTAAAGTAGGACCGGAACCAAGCCGGAGCATCCCCTTTAACACCAAAATCAGTCGAAAGCCTTTTGAGCATAGTTGAGTGTTCCACAGTGTCAAAGGCAGACAGCCGACAGATCTAAAAGCAGCCATATAACTGACTTCCTGTTATTAATTGCGCATAAGTCATTTTGCACTCTTATCAAAGCAGTCTCGGTTGAACGGCATGTCTTATATTAGGCGAATTGCAAAAAAGCCTCATAGTAGAACATGTTTTTTCCCATGCTGAATGGACTGGTCAGCGATCGCCTTCTTACTTTGGACACCAACGGCAGATTAGATATTGGGCGAAAGTTAGAATATTGCTCGTGGTCTGCAACTCTGCCACTTCGAAGGGATCAGGTAGCACCCAGAGGAGAGCGACATGTTGACCAATACCCGAGTTATAATCGGAAATAGTGTATCAAAACAGCCTTTGGTTATGGCAGATCGTACAGGGTCAAGCTTGCAGGATTAATAGACACTGGTTTAAAAGTAATTGCTTTCACATCATCCTCAGTGATCAGTGATCACTGAGTGTCTAAAAAAATTTTCTTAAATCGGGAGCTCACAAGATAATAAAATATCATGAGTGTGACAAGTTGATTGGTTAGGTTTTTCTTGATTACTCGAATTATTTTTAATACCGCTCATACCTAGAATAGGAAAAGCACTTCATTATACTCGAAGCTGCTCGAAGCAAAAAAAGGGATGAAATCGTCCTGAAAAGCAGGTTTCAGTTATTTCCTAAATATTCAACTTCAGCTAATAATTTCCTGAATACCTTTATGTTCCTGAAGGTGTTTCGATACAGTTTTTCAGAGGCCATACCGATATTTTTCAATCGCCTTAAAAGTGGTTTTATCCTTGTCCGATCGCTATAAAATTTTCACCAGTAATTTTCTATGGATTGAAATCTGTAGTTTTAAGTAAAATCGATATTACTATGACAACAATAAACAAAAAAAGTTTGAAATTGACAAAAGCCGAATTTTGAGTGATCTAGACCAGCTACTGAAAATCCAACACTAGGAACTTAAAGTTTGTTGTTTAGCAAACAATCTCCGTAAAAAGTAAAAATTTCTCCGCCTGTATTTCAAACCTTAAATTTTCAATAGCCGTGATAGATTATTTTAATAAAAACGTTATAAATAACTCAAATTATTCTTAAGTATATAGCGTCAGAATCCGCTGCTTAATATCATATTTTGATGCAAGGAAATTTTGGTTTATTTTCATTCTTGCGAGTTGAAAACTAACCCGTTTTCTCACCACAGTGTATAAGTGCAGCTTCATTCAAAATTTGGACTTTTGGTACTTTTTTGGATATCTCTGAAACGACTTGAACAAATTTTTTTAAATCTCTTCACATAATCTTCATAATGTATATATAATAAGGTCTGACACTTTCATTGAGATTGATTCACTACAACATCCTAAGATTTCAAGACAAACCTATCCTACGAATCTGTCAAAAATCTGCGTTACAACATTCACTGTTTTGATCGACGTTATGCTATTTTTTCCCAAAATAATGCGCGCAATACATATCTCCATGACTAGTACATTTTAGTTTCAATTTCTCGCCCTCTTAGGTTTGAATGTAAAGCATTGACAATACTCACAATGAAATGTACTATCATGGATATATAATTGTATTTTCCGCATTAATTTGGGAAAATTAGCATAACGTCAAAACAGTGAATGTTGTAGAACGGATTTTTGACCGTTTAGTGGAAAATTAAGTGAAAACAGTTTTGCAGACTATATATAAAGACGATCGATTTGTATGAACAGCCGATGGACAAAATCAGTATTGAACGTCTAAATGGTGAATTTTCCCCCTAGTGATCAAGCTGCTTATAAGAAAGTTCAACTTGAACGTCTAGTATTTAGTATAAACACCGACGAAACTTTGTACTTGATCTACTTCTATTATGTTCAAAAGGTTATTAATTCTCTTCTGAAAACCTGCAGGAGTGCACTGTTTTACAAGAGCGTGGCGCTATTCTTTGTGGGAAACGGGAAATCAAATTAGAGAAGAGAGACTAAACTTTGATAAACCTTTGATCGCCTTACAAATTTTTCGAATTCGAAATCAGAATAAAAACAGTAAAGATGCGGCTACATGGTTACGTATATCTTGATGAATTCATATGCACTTTCTTAGAGAACAAAAGAGCCAGCACCCCTTAATATGAAATGATGACAAAATCGTGTTCAGACGCAACAACCCAA